TCCGCCAGCGTATCCCGTTAGCGCAGGCGGGGATACCATACCATTTTCACCCATCAAAAGATATTTCCTAGATACCCTACATTGTAAATATTTTGTAAGAAAATGTAGGGTACTTGAATATTTCGCATTTTTTTTTAATGGGTGACAATGGCATGGTAACCCCGCCTGCGCTATCGGTATACACTAGCAGAGCATCAGTGAAGGATGACAGAGGAAGATGAAAGGGCAGATCAGTTAGCCCATCGTGACGAATTCAACGGTAAATTAGTCATAATGGTTTCCAGGGGGAACCGCGTGAAGATCGACATGATAAGGTATATTGATAGCAAAGGGGACTAACCTCCCCATTACTAACAATCCCTTCCCCCCCGTGTTGCAGGCGTCAATAGGCTACAGTAACCGTTTACCATCAGACGGGCTGTATGCATGTTTGCCACCTTTGTGGTATAAAAAATAATAATAACTAGTAATTCATAATAAACAAATTAAAGCAATTCCCACGTTATTAGACATAATATTCCGTATATATGTACAAACAAACAGACTAATTAATATTTCTTACGTAGTTGTGTTTTTTATTTTCTTTTTTTATATATATTTAAGTATTTATTTATTGCTTGAGGTTAAAACTATGCTCCGTAACGAATAAATTTAATATGAAAATAATATGATATTTATCGCTTCACGTCATACTTGGGTACTTTTTAGGCGACTAGCTTCGTGCCCGGTACTTCGGACGTGTTTTTTTTTTATACCACTGAGGTGGCAAACAAGCATATGACCCATCTGATGGTAAGCGGTTACCGTAGCCTATGAACGCCTGCAATACCGGAGGCGCGCGTTGCCGACCCTGAAGAAACCTCTTTACCCACCTTTTGAAGAACCCCATGCTGTAGTCTGTATGGATTTCAAAAGTAGAAAAACTAATATACAACCTTAGATTATATAGATATAGGGTCTCCATACAAATGCTTCGAGAAAAACGGGTAAACTTTTTCATACAATTTTGCGTGATAAATAGTTACGAGTGATTCCTTTATAACTTCTATATTTATTTTGTTTTATAATTTTAACATCTTTTTAATGCGTAAACACTCATTTTATTTATTAAATAATTAAATATAGATACGTCAGGATACATTGTGTGCGTAAGTATATAGAACACTGATAAACAAACGAGTCAGCTAATTTGACAATTAGCTGACAAAAAGTTGACCCGTTTTTAAGGTTGGAGGCTCTATCCATTATAGGTAATCTAAGATTTGAGTGTTGACACAAAATATACTTTCGTTTTTAAATAATAAAAAATGTCAGCCTTTTTAATTAACATCATTATATTAATGTAAAAACGACACATATATCAGAGGGAGACTTTGTACAAAAGTCGATTGCTTGGGTACCTCTGTCACATTCGTGTTTCAACCGTGAAGCAGTTGTGTTTGCATGGCTGTGTTTCGGTTTAAAGGGTGGGATATGGCGTGAATTTATTGGGTACAGAGGAATAACACCTGAGTCCTCAGGAATGGCAACGCATGGGGGGTATCATGGGAGAAACAGTATACTCTGTTATGTCCATGGTACTGCTCATGTCTATAGGCGATGGTTACCACTTTCCATCAGGTGGGCCGTCAGCTTGTTTGCCATTATAAGTTCTATAAAATTATAAAAAAAATAAAAGTTAACTTAAAAATGGAACAAATCGCGCCACAATTGTTACTGTTTTTAAGTCGTTTAAAGTAATCTAATATGCTAATACAATTATGTATTGAAACCAGTTTTTAAAAACGAGATTTTTATATGACATACCTGTTATTTTTTATGTGGTAGGAAATGATAAATAAGTTAGCAATGTCCGCTGTCAAATAAGGATAGAGCATTAAGTATGAGACGACGGGGGGGAAGGGATTGTTAGTAATGGAGACTAAAAATCCCATTGCTAGCAATATACCTATATATATATAATTTCATGATTATATTTTCTATGAACCACCATAAACTAACACCCTTTATTCATAAAAACTAAAATTTCCCACAAACCCATTTTAACCATAACCATACATTCGATACCGTATACCACACCATATCAGCCATTAATTCTTCACCGCTGAACATCATCAACATTATTCTTTATCTGTCCACTGCTGAACATAAGCCTCCCCCTTGGGGGGTTTGCCAGTACTTACCACGCTTGGCAGACGGATTGGCAACCGCAATCAGGCTTTAAAGATGTTTTAAGAGGGACGCTGCTGCCCATCCCTCGCCCTTTCTTAGTCGCCTCTTACGACACCCACGCGAAAGGAAGGGGTAGCCTATTCTATGCCGGGACCACACAGTAATAATATCACAAAGAAATCTTTGTTCTAACTATTAACTATTATTAATTAATTATTTTTAAAATTTTTACAAAATTCACATCTCCCCTCTTAAGGACAGGAGATGGCAACTAACTCCCGGTAGAAGCACAGTCGGCCGGGATTCAAGGCGCCAGGGAGAGAAACCGGCGTACAATGCGGGCAGTATCTAAGAGCACCGCTTTCTGCATCTTTCCCGGGAGTGAGCCGCCTCGGAATCCCAACCGTCTGAGATGTTGTTCCAGACTGGTTGGGATAAGACCGTTCACCGACATAACGATTGGAATGATTTCGGTGGACGCCACCCCCCACATTTCGGTCACCTCGTGAGCCAGGTCGAGATATTTTCTCTTATTCTCGGTTTCGGCTTTCACGAGGCTCTCGTCATGCGGTATGGTGACATCCGCTATTATTCATTAATTATTTTTAATTTATTATTATCTCATAACTTGTACCTCTACTTGTACATACTTGTACATATAGTAGTACCGCATTCGTGTATTCTGACACTTCCCTACGGTTGACTGGGAGAGAATGCTTTTAGCATTAAGTCCGCCATGTACACATGTTATGTACTAATGAATAAATAAATAAATAAATAACTGCGTCAATTATAAACCGATTTGGAAAATTCTTTTTTCGTTTTTATCTAAAAGGATGTACTTCCAGATTGGCCTCGTAGTTAGTTTAGTAGTTTAATTTTTAAATCAATATAACTGTTTTTATTTTTATTTTATTTTCTTATTAACACGTCGACTGTCGTGACAATTTTCAGAAAGTTAATTTTAAACTTTCACATTGAAAACACATATTTTAAATTCTATTTAATCGAATTATATTATTAAAAACTCTAATTCTAGTTATCTTAAAAAAAAAAAGCATAAAAAAGGCACACATACACATAAATAAACAAACATTTACCAGAGGGAGACTTTGTACAAAAGTCGATTGCTTGGACACCTCTGTCCCATTCGTGTTTCAACCGTGAAGTAGTTGTGTTTGCATGGCTGTGTTTCGGTTTGAAGGGTGGGATATGGCGTGAATTTACAGGATACAGAGGAATAACACCTGAGTCCTCAGGAATGGCAACGCATGGGGGGTATCATGGGCGAAACAGTACACTCTGTTATGTCCATGGTACTGCTCATGTGTATAGGCGACGGTTACCACTTTCCATCAGGTGGGCCGTCAGCTTGTTTGCCATTCTATTATATTTGTTGTATAAAAAAAATACATTAAAATATTTTTTTATTCTTTATTGTACACAAAAGGTTATTGAAATGTAAAAACAAACATAATAGTGCACAAAGGCGAGCTTATCTCCAATAGAGATCTCTTCCAGCGAACCCAATATGAGAAAACTGACAGTTCATTAGTAGTTACAGTCATACATGTGTACCGATCGACTTAAATGTTATAGTTAAAAATTTCTTGAATTTGAATTAATTTTTATAATTATTTTTTCGATTCGTTTTATAATGAATTCTCTGTTCTGAATGCAAGTCAGCATTGGTTTTTTTGTTTCCCAGAAGCCACCTGTTAATATTAGCACTGATATGTTTTCGAGTTTAATGCTAACTGTACAAGAATGGTAAGTAAACCAGGACGAGATAACTCGTAGTTGGTGTCCTAGAATCTAATCTAGGAGTTATCTTGTAGTTGGCAGTCGACATCTTGCTACCCTTATCTTAATTATTATTTGGGGTCGTCGTAATATGGTTTTTACCCATATTACAAAAAAAATTGGCTTATAGTTTTACGACCGGCCACCTGCCTGACGTCTACCCTGTTTGGGTATTTTTTTTAATGGGTGATAATGGAACGGTAACCCCGCCTGTGCTATCGGTATACACTGTCGGGGCACCAGTGAAGGATGATAGGTGAGGATGAAGCAGGTCAGTTAGTCCATCGTGACGAATTCAACAGGAATTGTTCACGATGGTTTCTAGGAGGAACCACGTGGAGGTCGACCCTCTTTGGGTATTGTAAGTGGTGGCAGTTGCAAGCACAATGGCCGTTTACCATCAGACGAGCTGTATGCTTGCTTGTCACCTTCGAGATATAAAAAAAATCTTACTCCCCCCTGCTTACATATTTAGGCATTTTAGTTGCGAATAGTAATGTGTGAGGTGGTACTATTGGCGTCACAGTATACATATATACGTCATAAACTATGGTGTCGCTCATATCCATAAGGTTGCCACTTTCCATTAAGTGAGCTATCAGCTTGCTTGCCATTCCAAAGTTATGTAAAAAAATATATATTTCAAAGACTTACTTCCTGATATAAATGTGAAAGAGAGTTTGTTTGTCTGTTACCTTATAACGCCTTAACGGCTTAAAAAATCACTGTGAAATTCGATATACATGTACAACGCATGGGGGGTATCATGGGCGAAACAGTATACTCTGTTATGTCCATGGTACTTCTCATGTCTATAGGCGACGGTTACCACTTTCCATCAGGTGGGCCGTCAACTCGTTTGCCATTCTAAGTAGTATAAAAAATAAAAGTCACGTAGAATACGTTTTATCCCGGACACGAAAACAGAGTCACCGGTAAAAGCTATATAAAGTTATAAATAGACTTAAAATCTATTTAAAAAACAAGAACACACTTTAAAATAGTAAACAGTACGTCTAAATTACCTTCAATGTTGATAAAATGATGATGACTAGCTATTACTGATCGTTTTTATTCCATTGTTTGTAATCTTCGCACAAAAAAAAAACACATTTTCAACGATTTGTTCACAAATACGGCATTAAACTTTCATACCTTCGTCACTTAATTTATTAAAAAAAAAACTAAACACACTTTTAAATCGTATGTTTAAAAACTTGGAGCATTCTTTTTTCGAAACAATTTATTTTTACTATTGAGAACAATAAAAAACTACATATATTGTCTATTGTTAGTGGCACTGTACTGAAAAAAAAAACAAACACGTATCACATTCCTGTTCTAAATTTAAAATTTTAAAAAATTTACATTCGAACCAAAATTGATTCAAATCTACTACCTACTGAATGATAAGATTTTTTTTATGTTAAAAACTGTTTATTTATGTAAGATATATGGAAATCGAGCGCTCGAAAAACCCGTCGCGTATTTATACGAAGGTTGTTGGACGATTTTTGTTTTGTTTTTTAATAAAATATAATAAACACGAGCGTTGAATCAATGCTCGAGTTCGATACTACGGCGCACTCGGAAGGACTGGGCGCGGGAGATTCTAGGGCTGTCACAAACAAGTTTTTAACACTAAATAAAAGTAACAAAAAAAAAAATACAAAATGGCATAAATTATTTAGATGATTTTAAACGAGTTTTATTTATGTTTTGATACTTTTTTTATTTATTAAAACTTTAATGGATATTTATTTATTTATTTATGAATTTCCCACTTCACTTACAGTTACCCAAAACGTGTAGTGAGCCATGACGAACTTACGCCTTAATAATATTACAGTATCACCCAAAATATCAACCATAAAGAGTTCTTTTCCTCAATGGCAGTCAGTCGTCATTTTACGACCATTTATTTATACCAGTGTCATGTAGAGGTTCCCTTATATATGTATATATATATATATATATATATATATATATATATATATATATATATATATATATATATATATATATATATATATATATATATATATATATATATATATATATATATTTAAGGGAATAAATGTGTATCAAATTCCATGACAAAGTCTTAAGAAGTAACAAATAAACTCATACACACACACATACACATACATATACATACATACATAGTAAGGATACCAATATATAAAGTTAAGTAAGCTTATTTAAAAATATAACAAAAATTAAAAATATAAGAAAAATAAATTCTTAAGATTGCCAACCCTAATCCACTGTCATTAATGACTAGGTAAGTGGTATGCGCGGGCGCATGTACGTCATTGCTCGCGGTAATGGAGCAAGGCATCATCTGAAGCTAGAGACTTAATTATTGCATACTAGTAATTACCCGTGACTTCGTCCACGTGGCCAGGTTATGTGGATAAAAGTTCCAAGCACTACCTGTATAATAAACCAAGTTGAGGGGTGAAGGTATTGTCAGTAATGGGGACTACCAGCTCCATTGCTAGCAATATACCTTATCAGGTCGACCTCCACGCGGTCCCCCCTGGAAATCAACTGCAATAATTTATTTTGGGTGAATTTATCATGACAGGTCAAAGGAAGAAAGGGATTGTTACTAATGGGGTCCAAGAGCTGCACTGCTAGCAGTATACCCTATCAGGTCGACCTCCACGTGGTTCCCCTGGAAACCATCGTGAACAATTATTGGTGAATTCGTCACGATGGGCTAACTGGCCTGCTTCATCCTCACCTACCATCCTTCACTGATGCCCCGCCGGTGTATACCGATGGCGTGGGTGGGATTACTATTCCATTATCACCCATTACATCCCCTGCCCCTCCCCTTTTGTAAGTCGTTTAAATATAGTATTACATTGTACATTTATGAATTAAAATAAATGACTCAGTTTTTGCTATTTTCGTGTGGCCTGCCTTAATTTTAACATAGATAAAAAAGGCACTATTGAATTACGCACACTGCCAGTGCCGGACTAATTGGAGGGGCAGAAGGGGTGGTTCCCCCCGATCTCTGGTCCTTGGGATCTTCTAGACGCTTCTTTCCTTATTCATATTCTATGTATGTTTTCTTTACTGACCAACATTTCAACATCATGTCACCTTTTGTTATTCTGTTTTTATTATTTCTTTTATTTATATAATTTATTTATTTAATATATTATTTAAATACAATATATTTTTTTTCGTATGTATGTTTGTTTAAACATAATAAGTAATATTTTCTTATTCAAGTAAATTTAATAAGTCCTTAGTACTTTACTTAATGACAGTGGATTAGGGCTGGTCACGTTAAGAATTTAACAGTTTATGGGGGAGACCTATGTCCAGCAGTGGACGGAGATTCGCTGAAATGAACGAATGAACGAAACTTAATAATAGGCATTTCTAAATAGTCATTTTTTTACGAATCTACCGATCAGTTCGGAATGTAATTTCAGCTGAGAAGAAGAGAAAAAAAAGTTGCTTTTTCCAAATATACAACAGAAAAAATATGGACGGACAAAATGATTATCACAAGCTTCTTATTCCGCACTTACGAAATCTAATCTAATAAAAATCTGTTAAATCATATTTACTGAGCAAAGCCTATTACTCACTAAACGATTACTTGAATGACGAGTGTGCATGGCAATAGTTGTTCATGCACTGAATTTTCATTTAATGTTAGACATAGACACCTATATAAATATACATTGTAAATAAACTGGCTTTAAAAAAAAAAAGTAATTCAATTGAGTTTCTTGCCAGTTCTTCTCAATTGGATCTATATACCGAACTGGACGGTAGGGAAAAAAATAAAATTATAATGTAAAAATTTGACGTTCATAAGCGGCTAAAATGTCCTACATGAATAAATGATTTTTGAATTTTGAATTTTGAATTTTGAATTTTGAATTTTGAATAATTTAAATTCCACTTGCGAGACTTTAACTAAACAAACTTAAACACCAATAATAATTGTTCTTATCTATTAAAATATTTATTTAATTTACAATTTTTTTTTAATCTATGCACCGCCATTTACTCTCTCTGTTTACCGTAACGGTTGCCTGGTAGAGAATGCCATCAGGCATTAAGTCCGCCCTGTAGATATATTTTAATGTGTCCTAAAGTATAAATAAATAAATAAACACTCAGGTTGTGGAATGAGCTCCCTGCCGACGTTTTCCCAAGAGACTACAGCATGGGGTTCTTCAAAAGGGGGGTAAAAAGGTTTCTTCAGGGTCGGCAACGCACGCGTAATACCTCTGGTATTGCAGGTGTTCATAGGCTACGGTAACCGCTTACCATCAGGTGGGCCGTATGCTTGTTTGCCACCTCAGTGGTATAAAAAAAATAAACACTTATACATACAAATGTGAACTGAAAGCTTGTAAAATTGTATCAACTTCTTAAATAAACTATAAACTGGGGGCCTCATTTTTTGCCGCCCCGGGCCTCTGATGGCCTTAGTTCGCCACTGGATATTGCCCGCGTGTACTTATAAGGTATTGTATGTAGTGAGGCCAGTCAACCGCAAAACATGGTACGTATAAAGATAGATAGATAGATACTCTTTATTGTTTCCTCCATAAGATTACAATAGTAAACTTATTATAGATACAAACAATTACAAGAAATGATCACAGTGAGAAAACAATGGGCGACCTTATCGCTAAGAGCGATCTCTTGCAGGCAACCTTTGGATGGAGAGGAGTAATTATAAACAGTTTGATCGGAGGCACGATGAAAAATTTACTTAAAGAATTTAGATTACATTTTAGCCCGATAATGCAGATGAAGTTGCGGGTAAAAGCTAGTATATATATTAAACATATTAATTAAGTTAATTATATATGTATATATGTATGACCGACTTGAACAGTTTTTTTTAAAAAATCAGCAAAAACACTACATAATTCGCTATAATGGGCCAACTAATCTACTTTCATCCTCACCTATCATCCCTCCACGGTGCCCCGCCAACGTATACTGACAATGGAGGCGCATTTCATTTAAAAAAAAAAAAACACAATAAGTATCACTGGTTATTTGTTTAGATTTATTTTGTTTAATTCCGCTACCGTTAGTATGTGTGCGACTGTCAACACTTGAAGATTGACCACTGTTCCGAACTTAGTCTTAAGTCGAACGGTTGACACCAGACTCCGAGAAGCGATATTATAATTTACCTGAAGATTTCTCGTTTAAAGATGAAACACGTGTCGTGAAACGTGCGTGAACAAAATGACAGTCCAACATTGATGGCTAATATAAAAGGTTGTGGAACTTCTGGTAGTAATAGTGGCGTTATAACAAATTATCTGTAATTTTGAATTTTTGTAATAATAAGTAAATAAAATAATTAATAATTTAATTGTTTTTATGCAACTTACAATGACAAACAAGCTGACGTCCCACCTGACGGAAAGTGGTAACCGTCGCCTATAGACATGAGCAGTACCATGGACATAACAGAGTACACCGTTTCGCCCATGATATCCCCCCATGCGTTGCCATTCCTGAGGACTCAGGTGTTATTCCTCTGTACCCAGTAAATTCACGCCATATCCCACCCTTCAAACCGAAACACAGCCATGCAAACACAACTGCTTCACGGTAGACACACGAATGTGACAGAGGTGGCCAAGCAAACGACTTCTGTACAAAGTCTACGTCTGGTATGTTTGTATTTGTAGTTTGTATTTAATGAAACTCATTAATAATCATGGCGGTTCATTGCTAATGTGATTCTTGGGAAATCCGATTGGCGCCTGTGAGTAATTTCTAATTATGATTCATTGTAACATTAATTTAAAATTCCAAAGAAGTAATATAATGTTGTATGACATTAGATGCGCTTTGCACGTTTAAATAACTTTTCTTTATAATAAAAAAAACTGCTTATAAAATAAACATGCACTTTTATCGAAGGACGCCATGACAGACCCGCTTAATTACATTTCCAATGTTGCCAACCTTAGGTACAATAATTTCCAATATACTACAAGTAAAGTCTATAGGTGTAGATAGGTAGCTACAGTACCTAGTCTTTTTTTTAACTAACTTCAAAAAGAGCCACCAAAAACCACTAAAAAGTACAGTCTCCCGTACAAAAGTCGTTTGCTTGGACACCTCTGTCCCATTCGTGTTTCAACCGTGAAGCAGTTGTGTTTGCATGGCTGTGTTTCGGTTACAAGGTTATTTTCAATGGATGATAATGAAATGGTAACCTCGCCTGCGCTTACGGTTTACGCTGGCGGGACACCAGTGAGAGATGATAGGTGAGGATGAAAGAGCAGGTCAGTTGGCCCATCGTTATAAACCTGGGATTTAGCACGATGACTTTCTAAGTCATCTAAGATAGATCAAAATTTATTTTAGCGGGCTATGGAGTTTTTTTTTTTATAGGTGAAAATGGTATGGTAACCCCGCTTGCGCTAACGGGATACGCTGGCGGAGCACCAGTGAAGGGTGACAGGTGAGAATGAAAACAGGCCAGTTAGCCCATCATGATGAAATCATCAGGAATTAACCATGATAGTTTCCAGGGGGAACCGCGTGGAGGTCGACCTGGTTGGGTATATTGCTAGCAATAAGATTCTCAGTCTCCATTACTAACAATCCCTTTCCCCCCGGCTATGAAGAGTTATGCTCTGAGTCTCGGCGTGATAGAATCCGAAACGAGGGTATCCGCAAAAGAACAAAAATAACCGACATAGCTCGAAGGATAAGCAAGTTGAAGTGCCAATGAGCTGGTCACATAGCTCGAAGAACCAACAAACGATGGGAAAGAAAGGTTCTTGAGTGGCAACCACGTACGGGTAAACGTAGTGTCGTCGTCCTATCTCCCCACTAGATGGAGCATGACCTGAAATGTGTTGCAGGGAGTCAGTGGATGCGGGTGGCTCAGGACCGTTCTTTATGGCAGTCTATGGGGGAGAATTATGTCCAGCAGTGGACGGATAATGGCTGAAATAAGGGTGATGAATTTATATGAAGTAATTTTTTTTAACACAATTTTTAATCTATACTTATAATAAATCTGTAGAGAGGTCAATTCTGTACATGAAATATATTTGCAAAATAACTATCAGCGGGTGATTAGTGATCGATACTGATGCCAAAAATGCAATCAGTAACATTTTTGTCTGTCTGTCTGTATATTCGTTATAGAAACAAAAACTACTTGACGGATTTTAACGAAACTTGGTACAGTTATTCTCCATACTCCTGGGCAGGTTGTAGTATACTTTTCATCACGCTCCGATCAATAGGAGCAGAGCAGTGAAGGGAAATGTTTACAATGTTCACCCGTGCGACGCCGGGACAGGCCGCTAGTTAATAAATAAAACACATAATGAAAATATACAAAGCACTTTTATTTCATTACAAAAATTGATCTTAGTGGAAACTATAAAAGATTATTTATCCACAAGTTAATCTAAAAGTTAATTGAATTAAAAAAAACATGTTAAATGGCTGTTATAAATATATAAAGCTGTTTCACTTTGGGCCCAGTCTTTGTACAGTATTACAAAAAAAAAGACCACACATTATCGGAAAAACGTCAAGAAAATTAATCTAATGCACAGTTATTTGACATATTTTTTTTTGGTGGATGAAAATGGTACGGTAACCCCGCCTGCGCTAACGGGATACGCTGGCGGAGCACCAGTGAAGGGTGATAGATGAGAATGAAAACAGGCCAGTTAGCCCATCATGATGAATTCATCAGGAATTAACCATGATAGTTTCCAGGGGGAACCGCGAGGAGGTCGACCTGGTTGGGTATATTGCCAGCAATGGGATTTTTAGTCTCCATTACTAACAATCCCTTTCCCCCCTAATTGACATATTTAGTGTGATTAATTGACCGTGTAATCCCGGCATAGAGTAGCCCATCCCTTCCTTTCCCGTGGATGTCGTGAGAGGCGATTAAGGGAGCTCATTGATAGAGGGATGAACAGCAGCGTCCCTCTTAAAACATCTATAAAGTTTAACCAGAGGGAGACTTTGTACAAAAGTCGATTGCTTGGGTACCTCTGTCCCATTTGTGTTTCAACCGTGAAGCAGTTGTCTGCATGGCTGTGTTTCGGTTTGAAGGGTGGGATATGGCGTGAATTTACAGGGTACAGAGGAATAACACCCGAGTCCTCAGGAATGGCAACGCATGGGGGGTATCATGGGCGAAACAGTATACTCTGTCATGTCCATGGTACTGCTCATGTGTATAGGCGACAGTTACCACTTTCCATCAGGTGGGCCATCAGCTTGTTTGCCATTCTAAGTTATATAAAAAAAACTGCGGTTACCAAGCACCTGCCAAGCGTGGCAACTACCGGCGAACTCCTCTTTATGGGGAAGGCAATGTAGAGCAGTGGCCAGTTAATGGCTGATACAATAAACAACTTAAACTAATATCATCATCATCATCAGCCTTTAACTCTCCACTCCTGAACATAAGCCTCTCCCTTGGGGTTTTTTTTTGATAGGTGAAAATGATATGGTAACCCCGCCTGCACTAACGGGATACGCTGGCGGGGCCCCAGTGAAGGGTGATAGATGAGAATGAAAACAGGCCAGTTAGCCCATCATGATAAATTCATCAAGAATTAACCATGACAGTTTCCAGGGAGAAACGCGAGGAGGTCGACCTGGTTATACTGCTAGCAATGGGATTCTCAGTCTCCATTACTAACAATCCCTTCTCCCCCCTTGGGGGGTCTGCCAGTAGTTGCAACGCTTGGCAGGCGAGTTGGCAACCGCAGTTAGGCTTTACAGATGTTTAAAGAGAGACGCTGCTGTCCATCCCTGGCCCTCACTTAGTCGCCTCTCACGACACCCACGGAAAAGGAAGGGGTGGCCTATTCTATGCCGGGACCGCACGGCAGTACAGAACTAAAATAGAATATAATAAATATCACATGTTTTTTTATACTACAGGAAATGGGTAACGTGAAAAATACTTTCAGGGGTCACGTTGCTAGCAATATACTATCCACGCGGTCTCGGAAGCTGTCGTGGCTGACACTAGTGGAATACACGATGGTATCAACTGATCTGCCACCATCCTCACCTATCAACCCTCACTGTTGGTGGTGGTGGTAAGAAACAACATGACGAGCGTACTGGCATGAGAGTTGGATGTCTACTTTATACATAGTGAGATCATATGCCCAGTAGTGGGACGTTTGTGGTTTATAGACTTATGGTATCTTTTGTACCGTCAAAAGAGAGAGAGAGCATAGACAATTCATATTAAGTTCAGACCAACAAAAAAAAGGTTGTATATCAATGTATGTTTTTTTTTTTAATATTAATATGTTTTAAAGCTATATAAAGTTTTGCAATTTTTATATTTTAATAAATGGAGTAATTCAATGCTTAGACCATTACATAAAATTTATCAAAGACGAAGAATTTATAACGAGACTTTAACATTAAAAAAATCCTAGTAATTTGGGGTAATTTGAGAAGTTATTTCTGGCAACACCTTTACATTACTACAATAAAAAAAAAAAGAAATGACAAATTTTTAGCATTGTTTTGTGACCTTAAAATGCATCTATATTTTTGTTGCTCTGAGCAATTAATACACATATATAATAGATTATAAACACAGATAAAGCGTCTCTCTAGAAATGCATAGACAAACTGCCCAACTTTTTTTTTTAAATCAGACCCTTTTATACAATAAAAAATTGTATTGATCTTTTAATTTTTTGCTTCTAGAATACAGGCCGTTCGTTTTTTTAAATTTATTTTATTGTCAATACTATATTTTTATAATTTCGCATAAAACGAATAAAAAACGTCAGTCAACAGTTCTTTGCGACATTTTTTGAGACCTGACACTACATCTAGAGGCTTTAAATTATAGATATTATATAGATTATATACAGATCGAATGTAAAAAACATGTAAAAATTCAGTAAGCTAATTTGACGAATGGCTCACAAAAATATGACAAATGTATTTTTTTTTTAATAAAAACACACATTTTTCAGTGTTGCAAGTAATTGGAACAAAAATTTCCCAGATAAGATTTTTTAAACTAATATTTGGCCGATTGACAAAGTATTTGCGTGGAGACACTCTATCTATATAATCTAAGCTAGAGGCACAAGATCTAAGCTTAAAACATTAAATATTTTGACCCTTATTTATAAGACAATAATAATATTTTTGTGACAATAGACAAAAAAAATAAAGCTTTTTAAAAAATTATAATAAATTGTCGTAAATAAAAAAAAAACACATTACATAGTAAAAATTTTCCCGCTAAAATTCTTAGTAAAGCTTTTTAATATTATTATTTTTTTTATAAATTTTACAGCCCTGGATTCTAGCCCGTGTTTGGTTAATGCAAACACTATTATTGCTAGTGTTGCCATACAAAAATATAGTTATTATTACATCAACATGCACAAAACCGTTTATGTTTCACCGGCTCTATTGTTATTAGTTGCCGCCTATGCTCTTCGACATCTTTCATCAGTTTCAGATCAGCTACGCAGTCGTCGACGACTTTTTGGAAAAGTTCCTCTGGAAAAGAAAATTTACAATTATAATACACTAGCTGTATCCCGTTGCTTCGCTCAAGTAATTCAGTACACAAACTATCCTATGTACTAAGTTAGGATATAAAATATCGAATTTTATCCAAATTCATTCAGTAATTTTTGCGTGAAAGAGTAACAAAACATCCATCCATTCATTCTTACATACTTTTGTATTTATTATATTAATAATACAAATATGATTATTCATTTTCAGACGCTAATGTCCTCTCATCTCCCAACCATTATGTTCCCTTAATCGACTCTAACGACACCTACGGGAAAGGAAGGGGTGGCCTAATCTATGCCGGGACCATACGGCGACGTATTATATAATTAACCAACTATAACTTTTTTTATATACAACTTAGAATGGCAAACAAGCTGACGGCCCACCTGATGGAAAGTGGTAACCGTCGCCTATAGACATGAGCAGTACCGTGGACATAACAGAGTATACTGTTTCGCCCATGGTACCCCCCATGCGTTGCCATTCCTGAGGACTCAGGTGTTATTCCTCTGTACCCAGTAAATTCACGCCATATCCCACCCTTCGAACCGAAACACAGCCATGCAAACACAACTGCTTCACGGTAGAAACACGAATGGGACAGAGGTGCCCAAGCAATCGACTTTTGTACAAAGTCTCCCTACATATAAACTGGAAATAAACATCTGTATATAGTAACAAAACACATTTTATGGGCAACTCTTTCTCGTATCGAGCTGCCCTATTATGGAACAAACTCCCTTCCCACATACAAGAGAGCCTCTCAATTACCTCTTTCAAGAAAAGGTTGAAGTTACATTTTCTTTCGTTTGAGTCATAATCTTAAATTTTCATTTTTATAATTGAACTGTCAAACTTTAAAATCATTCAACTAAATTTCTATTGTAAGTAGTATATTCATTTTAACATCCATTGTATAAGTAGGTAGGTATTGTATTTATTTATAGAAAATCTATTTATGTAATATTTTATTATGTATCTTAATATTTTATTTAACTGTATATTTGTTTATGTACTCTAAATATTAACAGTTGTAGCACTTCAGCTGCCCGCTAAGAACATGCTTTCTCACTGTACTGGGTTGACTTGGAGAGATCTCTGTCAGAGATAAGTCCACCATTGCTCACAATATTTATAAATGCATTAACAATGTAATTTACAAGTGCAATAAAGAATATATATATATATATATATATATATAATTTAATATTCATCGTCATCATCATTTCAGCCATTACCCGTTCACTGCTGGACATAAGCCTCCCCATAGACTGCCATAAGGAACGGTCCTGAGCCACCTGCATCCACTGACTCACTGCAACGCATTTCAGGTCGTCACTCCATCTAGTGGGAAGTCGTCCTATACTACGTTTACCCGTTCGTGGTCGCCACCCAAGAAACTTTCTTCCCCATCGGTTGTCGGCTCGTTCTTCGAGCTATGTGACCAGCTCATTGCTACTTCAGCTTGCTTGTCCTTAATTTAATATATTGTTTTGTATTAAATTGTTAAAATACGGCGATAATTGTTCAAAATGTGGGAAGGCGTCGAATCGACTGAAAATTTTCATCTAATACGGTACATAATCCGTTTAAAATATAATAAAACATATGCAGTATGCTGGGATTGATTCCCCTTTATAGGTCTAAAAAAATCCGCAATAGCGTATGTCTATCTTTTATGGATAACTTACTATACCCATCTAATTCGTACTCGATGCAACAAGTTAAGCATTTATGCTCTTCTACTATCCATGCGAAGCCAGAGCGAGTCGCTATAACTAGCAACTATTATAATCGTTATTTCTATAAAATCCAAAGCTGGCAAACTCACCGACATTCTCTCCAGTTTTGCTGGATGTAAGGAAGTGGCCGTTCAGACCCTTAGAGTAATTGGCGACAGTTTCCTCGGACACTTCCCTGGCGGCCGCGCCCGAGTCCACGATGTCCTTCTTGGTACCACAGAGGTATACCTTGCAGTCCTGGAAAATAAAATTATTAAGTTTACAAAAAAAAATATATGTATCTTTGCTCGGGTTAATTTAATACATAAAGTATCCTGTGTATTAAATTAAGATATACCCTACCCGTGCGCCAATATTCATTCAAATCCCTTCAATAGTTATTGCGTAAAAAAGTAACAAACATCCATCCATTCAAAAATATATGTACATAAATACAGCTGTATCCTGCAGCTTCGCTCGCATTGATTGAATACATAAAGTATCCTGTGTATTAAATTAGAATATAACCTATCCGTGCACCAAATTTCATTCAAATCCGTTCAGTACTTGTTGCGTGAAAGAGTAATAAATATTTTATTTTTATTTTACACTTTATTACACCAAGTAAAAAGAGAAATAACAAATACAGTAAATATTAATGAGAAGTGATACAAAAGGCGGCCTTATCGCTGAGCAATCTCATCCAGACAACCTTTGGGTAGAGGACATTGAGAAAAGAAAGACAAAGAGTAGGTGGCGCACTATTATATAAATCTAATATATAAAATTCTCGTGTCACGGTGTTTGTTACCAAACTCCTCCGAAACGGCTTTACTGATTTTCATGAAATTTTGTGTGCATATTCGGTAGGTCTGAGAATCGGCCAACATCTATTTTTCATACCCGTCAATGATACGGGGGTCACCCCAAAATTTATTTTTTATTTTTTTGACAATTTTTTTATTTTTATTATAATTTAGCATTGAAAAATACATACAACTTTAAATTTTCATCGTTTTACGATCAACCCCTGTATTTTAATCGCGATTTCTATATTTCGCAATAAGTGGTAAAACAACGTTTACGGGGTCAGCTAGTGCTCATATAAATATCCATCCACCAAAAAATATATGTATATAAAAATAGCTGTATCCTGCGGCTTTGTGAAGTAGGGGCGTGACATCAGTTATTTATTTATTTATTTATTCATTAGTACAAAAATGTATACATGGCGGACTTAATGCTAAAAACATTCTCTCCCAGTCAACCGTAGGGAAGTGTCAGAATACTCGAATGCGGTACTAGTAATTATTGATATACATACATACTAAAATTACATGTATAAACGAATAGATATATATGAATAACAAATATACTTACACATATATGATATATACTATACACGAATTTGAGAATAATATAAAGCACTTATTTATTTATTTATTCATTTTAATTTGGTTTGTTCCATAAGGACCAGGCTAAGATCAATGACCATGCTGCCGAATCTTTAGTTTTAGTTGAAAAATTATTAATGACAAAAAAATGTGTCCAGTTGTCAATTATCTATGTATATTTCACATTCCGTTATCTATAATACTAGATTATGACGCATAACTATAAGTAACAGACAAGAGATTTATAGATAAAAGTGGAACTAATGAGAAATACAAAGACGGAACAAACAATAGAGAAAGACGTAACTAAATAGCAACAATGACAAATGAATAAAGAAATAATATGGAAACGATGGTCGGTCACGCTAATCTCCGAAATCGCCCGATTGAATTCTGACTTCTAAAGCTGATGATGATGATGATTAAAGTGGTGTGGATAAATGTGGCTATGATAAAGGTAATTACGATAATGATAAAGTTGATTATAATGATGATGATGAAAGTGGTGATGCTAAAGTGGTGATGATAAAGGTAATTATGATGATAAAATTAATGGGTATAGTGATAAAAGTAGTGATGCTAGTGGTGATGATAATTGTAATTACGATGATTATTATGATAAAGTGGTGATGGTAAAGGTGGTGTTGATAAAGGTGATGATGATGATAGTGGTGATGCTAAAGATGGTGGTGGTGATAAATGTGATGATGATGAAAGCTATGATGCTGAAGATAGTGACAAAAGTGATGATGATGAAAGTGATTCTAAAGGTGGTGTTGATGATGAAAGTGTGATGCTAAAGGTGATGGTTCCGATAAAGTGATGATGGCGGTGATGATAAAGGTAATTATGATAATGATAACTAGTATATACCTCTTCCACGATCCTTAGTTCTCGCATCCAATGCTGGAGCCTCTCCCACGAGTAGATGTCGCAAGGATCGTAGCAGATTATAGCTGCATGTGTGCCACGATAGTAGGTTTTAGTCATGGATTCATATCTGTCGAGAACAAATATAGCTATTCAATGATTTATTTATTTGTTTATTCTTTATTAAACAATAAAATATGCTGGTCATTTGATTAGAATTATTTTGTTTAATTCCGCTACCGTTAGTATGCGTGTGACAGCCAACGTTCGAAGATTGACCGCCACTATTACTACCAGAAGTTAGTGTTTCACCTCTAAACGAGGCATCTTCAAGCAAATTATTAGATCGCTGCTCGGAGCCTAGTGTTAATCCAAATTTTGCAGTTTCGCAAAACGTGCGTGAACATAATGGCAGTCGGAGATTAATGGCTAATATGGAAATTGTGGTATATCTGGTAGTAATAGTGGCGGTCGATCTTCGAGTGTTGGCAGTCACACACATACTAACGGTAGCGGAATTAAACAAAATAATTCTATACAAATAACCAGTGATATGGACTTGTGAAAAATAACAACTAGTTCAGTAAAATAAAATTTGTACAAATGGCGAGCTTAATACCATATGGCATTCTCTAACAGCTAACCATTAGGTAATTTTCCCTATTTTTGGATCCATTTTTAGAAAAAAAAAACAATAAATTATGAACTACTAATATTGTGCATACAGCTATAAACATAGTTTACCTTTCACTACCAGCAGTGTCCCATATCCCAACGTTGAAATCCCTTCCTTTCGAGTACATTTTTTTGGCACAAAATGCTGCACCGATCGTCTGAAAGCAAAAATTCAATAATAATAATAATAAAAACACAGTCGAGGTTTTTCCAATAGACTATAACTTGGGGTTCTTCGTTTTACCAGAGGGAGACTTTGTACAGAAGTCGATTGTTTGGGTACCTCTGTCCCATTCGTGTTTCAACCGTAAAGCAGTTGTTTGCATGGCTGTGTTTCGGTTTGAAGGGTGGGATATGGCGTGAATTTACAAGGTACAGAGGAATAACACCTGAGTTGTCAGGAATGGCAACGCATAGGTAGGGTATCATGGGCGAAACAGTATACTCTGTTATGTCCATGGTAGTGCTCATGCGTATAGGCGACAGTTACCACTTTCCATCAGGTGGGCCGTCAGCTTGTTTGCCATTCTAAGTTGTATAAACAAAAAAAAAAATAACCAAGATAAAAAGCATGTCCTCTTATATAGGGGGGAAAGAATTGTTAGTTATGTTAGGAACTGTCAGGTCAACCTTCCCACAGTCCTCCCTGAAAAGGGGGAAAGGGATTGTGAGTAATGGAGACTGAGAATCCCATTGCTAGCAATATACCCAACCAGGTTGACCACCTCGCGGTTCTCCCTGGAAACTATCATGGTTAATTCCTGATGAATTCATCATGATGGGCTAACTGGCCTGTTTTCATTCTCATCTATCACCCTTCACTAGTGCTCCGCCAGCGTACTCCGTCAGCGCAGGCGAGCTTACCATACCATTTTCACCCGTCAAAAAAAAAAGTCCTCCCTGAAAACCATCATATTCAAATCTAGGCATGATCATCACGATGGGCTAATTGACCTGCCTTTTCATTATCACCTATCATCACTCACTGGTACCCCACCAGTTACCGTTAGCACAGGCAGGGTACCATTTTATTATCATTCATTAAAAAAAAATCTTTTTTAAGCCTATGTTATAAATCTTGTTTAAAATTGAATGATAAATAAATAAATGATAAATAAAGAATGTACGTATGTCGTATGTACGTACGTCTTTGTTTGTACGTATGTCGACCAAATAGGCGACGTGCTGAAGAAGGGCCAAATTAAAAGTAACCGGCGAGCGTGTATGAAAAGATTGATGAATGTGGAAGAAGCGAAAGAGGTTTGTTTGAATCGAAGCATTTGGCGTTCCATTGTTTCTGCCTACCCTAATGGGAGACAGGCGTGACAGATATGTATGTATGTATAAATAAAGATATAATGTTTTTGTTTTGTTGCTTTTTTATTTTGATTCTTTTATCCGTTTTACTGTGTATTATGTGTATGTTTTTTTTATTGTAATTTGTGTGCTGTAAGTAATGTAAATAAACTATCTATCTATCTAAATACAAACTCAATTTCGTATTTATAATATTAATAAGGCTACATTATTTTAAGTATATTTACTTTAAAACCATTAAAATGAAGACCCTTATCTTTTGTTTTCTATTACTACTAATTTTGAAGTCATTTAGAGTACAATTCAAATACTCTTTGTAATTAAGTAAAATTTGAAAATATATATGTATGTATATATATATGCTAGCAATATACCCTATCAAGTTGACCTCTATGTAGTTTCCCCTGGAAACCATAGTGGTTAATTCTTGTTGAATTTTTCACTATGTGCAGACTGACCTGTCTTCATCCTCACCTGTCATCTATATCTGTACTAAGTCCACCATTTACATGTCTACGTTCGACTGGTAAATAACGCCATGTGGTACTAAGTCCACCATTTATGTGTCTACATTTAACTTTTAAAATAATGACATGTGGTACTAAGTCCAACATTATGTGTCTACATTCAACTGGCAAATAATACCATGTGGTACTAAGTCCACCATTTACGTGTCTACGTTCAACTGGCAAATAATACCATGTGGTACTAAGTCCACCATTTATGTGTCTACATTTAACTTTTAAAATAATGACATGTGGTACTAAGTCCAACATTATGTGTCTACATTCAACTGGTAAATAATACCATGTGGTACTAAGTCCACTATTTACATGTCTACATTAAACTGGCAAATAATATCATGTGGTACTAAGTCCACCATTTACGTGTCTACGTTCAACTGGCAAATAATGCCATGTGGTACTAAGTCCACCATTTACATGTCTACGTTCAACTGGTAAATAACGCCATGTGGTACTAAGTCCACCATTTATGTGTCTACATTTAACTTTTAAATAATGCCATGTGGTACTAAGTCCAACATTATGTGTCTACATTCAACTGGCAAATAATGCCATGTGGTACTAAGTCCACTATTTACATGTCTACATTAAACTGGCAAATAATACCATGTGGTACTAAGTCCACCATTTACGTGTCTACGTTCAACTGGCAAATAATTCCATGTGGTACTAAGTCCACCATTTACGTGTCTACGTTCAACTGGCAAATAACGCCATGTGGTACTAAGTCCACCAATTATGCTATCTAGGTGTATTAAAGTTAAAATAAATAAATAACTACAGTTCGTAAACCTACATATAGTCCATCACAATAGATGTTAATTAGGACATAAATGTTTAATTTATTTTATATCTTATAGAGCATTTATAATAAAGCATATATACAGTGGATAAATAATACAATTAAATAAATTCATTATTTCGTTAAAACATAGATAGATAGATAGATAGACAATTTATTTGCATTACTTACAGCACACAAATTACAATAAAAAAAAAAAAAACATACACGTAATACACAGCAAAAGAGACAAAAGAATAAAAATAAAAAAAGCACAAATAAAAAAACAAAAATACAAAAACAAAATACATAATCTAACAATCTCCTTTGTTAACATTCCTTCATGCGTGTGCCATAGTAACACAAAATGGTCACAGCTCAGTTTATTGCTTTGCCCTTAAAAGAGCAAAACACTGATATTCTGCTGTGGCCAAGAGTCAGTCGCGAAACTTTTCATTAAAAATTTACAATATAAATATATATACACATATACACACATACATACATATACACATACATACACATACACATACACATACATATATATATATATACATATACATACACGTACACACACACATACACATACATACATACATACACATACATATATATACACACACACACACATACACATATAAATAAACTGCATTGTATGTGTCCATTATATTTGCCTCCACTTGACATTATATTCTACATAAATAAATAAATAACAGATACCATTAGATGAGGGGTAGTCAGAGATCACTTTCTGTCACATTCAGATATTCAGGCAATAAATATTTCGGCTACGTACCTATTGGGTATTCCAATTTTTTGTTTATTAATTAAAAAGATTTTAAGTTTTTTTTTTAAATGTGTTTACTATTAGACAATCTTATTGGGGGTGGTATATTATTCCAGCATTTCGTAGCTTGGTAGCGGAAACTTCCCTCAAACGCCACAGTTTTATGAGGACGCCCTGCTAATAAGTAGCGCGTGGGTCTTGTACTATATTTGTCATGGAATGAATTAAATTGTAATTTAGAATATAGATATTCCGGTCGCCGATACTTTAAGATGTCAAATACTGTACAAGCGAGATGAAAGTTTCTCCGAGAGGACATGTTTAAGGTGGAATAATTATTTAAATATGGCGTTACGTGCGTTCTAGGCGGAATATTGTGACAAAATCTAGTACATGCATTTTGTACTCGCTGTATAAGACGTTGAGTTTTAGAATGCAATCGAGGTCCATACACTAAATCGCCGTAATTCAATTTAGACAAGATCAATGATTCACAAAGAGTGACACGAACTTCCTCATTCAGAAGATTTCTAATTTGATATAGAACTCTTAGACGATAAAAGCAGCTTTGAACTAGTTTTAGAACATGAGTCTCAAAGCGTAGTTCACTATCGATTACTATTCCAAGATTCCTAGCTTCTTTAACATAGTCAATTCTTTCCCCGGAAATATATATGTCAGGATTCTGGCTAAATATAAATTTTACTTGTTTTTTAGATCCTAGAACCATGTATACAGATTTTTTGGGGTTTAACATCATTGCATTTTTAACCGACCAATTCGCAATACGTTCAAGATCCTCATTTAATTTTGAAACACTTCCTGAGACATTTCCGCGAGAAGCCGGGATATAAAGTTGAACATCATCTGCATAAATATGATATTTGCAATGTTGTATCTGTTTTATAAGATCAGCACTATATAAAATAAACAGTAATGGACCGAGTATTGTGCCCTGAGGCACTCCGCGCGTGACTTCCGAAGAATCAGAAAACGCAGGTCTACCAGCTCTCCCCACCAATTTAACAGTCTGTCTACGATTATCGAGAAAACTCGTAAACCATCCGACTGACTGTTCGTCCAAACCGTAAAATGTCAATTTTGCCAGAAGTAGTGGAATACTGATACTGTCAAAAGCACGAGAGTAATCTAATAATGCTAGAAGTGATCCCTCTCCACTATCTTGACTCGTAAGAATATTGTCAACGACGTCCAATAAAGCAGAAACTGTACCTCTACCTTTGCGAAAGCCGGATTGCATCGCTGGTAAGATACAATTTTCCTCAACATACTTAGACAACTGGGTGTAAATAACTTTCTCCAGTATTTTCGACAAGTATGGAAGAACACTAACTGGACGCAAATCTTTTAGTTCTACTGGATTATCTACTTTCGGTATAGGAGTGACAATAGCCGATTTCCATAATTATAGTTTATTCCATAATTATACATAACTATAGTTTAAATAAGTTACAGTATTAATATTATAACTTTAAATGGGTACAATGGTTGTGGTTTTAGCCATTCTAAAACCACAACTATTGTACCCATTTAAAGCTTCTAAATTTATTTATTTATTTATTATCTACACTAATATTATAAAGAGGAAAACTTTGTTTGTATGTTTGTTTAGTTGTAATGAATAGGCTCAAAAACTACTGGACCGTTTTTAAAAATTCGTTCACCATTCGAAAGCTACATTATCCATGAGTAACATTGGCTAAATTATATTTTAGAAAAAAATAGGGTTCCATAAAATATTTGGGTTTTTTGGACACAAGGTGTAAAAATCAACCAGAAAAGTTACTTATTTTGCGTACGCTGTCTAAACTATAAAAGATAGAAACTAAACTATAAAAGATAGAACACTATACCTATCTATGTCGAGTGAGGCACAACAACCATTTTTGTATATAAAAATCTTGAATTTTTTGGACTACATTTAAATGCATTAATTTTACTCATGCTATTAATCCTTATCAAAATAAATTATTTCATCACTAAGTACAGTTTATGTAGATAACATTTGGTCTTTGAATGATTAAAACTGGACATTCTGTTTTGAAGTTATGGCGAAATTAAAATATTACTATTTCCAAAAATTGCCTATTGCGATAACCAAGATCCACGCGGGCGAAGCCGCGGACGAAAGCTAGTATACAATAAATATAAAAACACCAGTATAATGCACTTTGCACTAGGTTAAACTGTTATATGTAAGCATATCTTTTTAATAAAATGACAAGGGACACAAAAAAAAACAAATGGCTGAATCAAATAGCTTCTTACATTAATTGACTGTATCAGTGTTTTCCCAGTCTATTCATATTGAAATAATATGAATAATAAGAATTCAATAAAAAAAAAATACTAAGGTTGCCTTCTCAAAGTAACTGCCAAGTATAAAAAAAAAATGCGTAATAAGTATAAATTTAAAGAAAATGTACTGTATTTATCTAAATGGTACTTACATTTTGATATGGGGCATTACCGTTAAAGCTGCAAGTAACAAATCTTATAACCAAGCTGGTTTTTCCAACATGTTCACAACCTAATAAAACCACTTTAAAATCACACCTAGACATGGTTAATTAGATTAACTGGTCAACTTAACAACAATTAAAAAAATTTACTGAAATATCCTCGTAGATTTTCACGTAGAATCAACTACTAAAAGTTGAAAATTCGAAAACAAAAGCACTGGCCGACTAAATTATTTGTTATGTACATCGCGAGTTCACGAACTAGTGTTTCTATTCAAGGCTTCGGGACTAATGCTAGTAGAACACAAAGAAACAAGTCATAAACTAAATTATGATATATTCATTCAAATATGCATAATCTACAAAAGAACAATAAAATTATCTTTTGTTTGACCAATTAACAATACAAATCAATGACAATCACCATACAAACATCTGTTAGTTTTTTTTTATATGTTTCACGGCTCTGGATTCAGCTGTCAGTATTCGGCTAGTGTTGCCAACATCGTGCTAGATTTTCCACCTAAACTAAATTTAAAAAAGGCTAAATACTCTACTCGAATGATTTGGAAATGGAACTAAATTGCAAGTGGCATAATAATAGAGTAGTAGAATGAGAAACACAAGCCCCCGATTTGAGGGGGCTCTTAGCCTAAAAATGAAAATAGAACAGCGAGCTTTTTTTAAATAAAATCTATCTATTCTCCTTTAGCCAAAGGTTCTCTGTAGGAGATTGCCCTAGCGGTAAACTAGTTTTTTATACCTCTATGAATATGTTTTAATCTATAATTTATGTACTGTATTTTACTTGAATTGTTCAACTGCAACTGTATATTTTTATGTTTCTGGTGCAATAAAGAGTTAAATAAATTAATAAATAAAGGAAGGACCCCATCCGATTAATTTACAAAAGTCTTAAATAGTATAATTACGCCACTGCTCAATCCAAATGCAAATATTTATCATTTTAAACCGTAGATAATTATAAAAAAAAATTGAAATAATGAAAGACGAGACATTATACTTATATGCGAAATGATACTAATTTATAGTTAACGAATGCTAAAAAAGCATATTTGCCTAAATCTGGTCACTTGTAATATTAAAAAAATCTTTTGTCAGCAGATGTCAATGTCAACTATATTAGTGAATATTAACGTCATGTCAAATATATTTTTTTCCTACGCGCAAAAAGTCAAGATCTGAGGCGTATATAGTTTAAAAATACATGAGAATGATCGTGGATAATTACAAAAAAAGATTAATAGTCAAATTTAAAGAAACAAAAATGAGTGTACAACATAAATTGCAAATAGTACTAACGATTACATTGAACAATACAAATACAAAACATAAGAATAAATCTTTGGTATAAACACCATCTATCTTAGATTATTTATTAATTAACGTCAAAATAAAGTTCACTACAATCTGTCAATGTCAAATGATGTCAACGAACGGCCACTAAAAATGTTGCCAGATCGATAGTTTATGTACATATTTGTAATTTTTTAACCACTTGCGTAGCATTTAAGTAATTTTTTTTCGAATAAGACATTTGATCATGACATGTAATAAAGTTCAAAATTCATAGCTTAATGAAAACATCAAATTAGTTTATTTATGTATGGTTAAAAACAGTTAGACGTTGTTTTCAATTGTCACTCGAGGCAACTTCTATAACAAACGTTAACTGGCTCAGATTTGACAGTTCAAAGATATCTTCTCATAGCTCCATTGATTAATATATAGCTATTTCTACTAATTGTATACTCATTATAAACTACCCGTGTTCCGTGGTTTTACTTGCATAAATCGGAATAAAATTATTCTGTGTATAAATAATTTAGGATGGTTTAACCGTGATCTAAATTTAATATTAATTTGTTTCTAAAACTGTATATTTGAAAAAAAATACAAATAAGAAATATAATTGCCACCTACCCTTTATTTTTCTTTGTTTTCTCAATGTTCTCTACCCAAAGGTTGTCTGAAAGAGATTGCTTAGCGATAAGACCGCCTTTTGTATCATTTCTTATTACAGTTAAATGTGTTTACTATTCTATAAATGGTGCAATAAAGTGTACATAAATAAATAAATTAATAAGTCAATGAAATGTGAAGATACATAGTGTATATAGCAACTCAGTTCACGAATAGCAATACATGAAAAGTATAATGGGCAGACAGTATACTCTAATATTGTCATAGTCGTAGAATACTGACGGATCTTTATATGTAATCTTTGTCAAATCCGTCAGTATTCTACGACTATGACGATATATCCATGGTGTTGTTTATATATATAGGCGACAGTTACCACTTTCCATCAGTGGGCTATTAGCTTGTTGGCCATTCTAAGTTGCATAAATATAAAGATCAGAAAAATCACTCAATAAATTATTGGAATAATTGAACTTATGAACGGATTTCAATGAAATTTGGTACACGGATAGGTTAAATTAACACATAAAACACACTTTATGTATTGACTTACGGAGAGAAAACCGCAAGAAATAGCTACTAAATAATATTGTTAGAAATTTTATTCATATTTTTTATTTTTTCTTAGTTTCCCTCTGGCTGCCTATATTTAAGGACTCTGTTAAAGGCTTCATCATCAGATCATCATCATCTCAGCCATTATTTGTCCACTGTTGGACATAGACATTTTCCATAGAATAAAGAACGGTCCTTAGCTACCTGCATCCACCTCAGCTTACTTATCCTTCGGACTATGTCGGTTACTTTGATTCTTTTGCGAATATTCTCATTTCAGATTCTATCACGCAAAGAAACTCCGAGCATAGCCCTCTCCATGGGGGGGAAAGGGATGGTTAGTAATGGAGACTGAAAATCCTATTGCTAGCAATATACCCAACCAAGTCGACCTCCTCGCGGTTCTCCCTGGAAACTATCATGGTTAATTCCTGATGAATTCATCACGATGGGCTAACTGGCCTGTTTTCATTCTCATCTATCACCCTTCACTGATGCTCCGCCAGCGTATTCCGTTAGCGCAGACGGGGTTACCATACCATTTTCACCCATCAAAAAAAGCTCTCTCCATAGCCCGCTGAGTAATTTCATGCTTTTGCATACAAACAACAACGTAGGGCCCTGTTTCGGTTCCTCAGGTTATCGCTGGCAACACGTACTGATTAAATTAACCTTCGTCTTTAAACTTTGAGATATTTTGGTGGAGAAGATACGGCGTAGTTTTGCAAACGCTGCCCAGCCGAGTTGTATTCGTCGGTTAGAGGCCTACGTTCTATAAAATGTTTTAACTGACGAGACGGCGATGACGCATGCGCCACGACCGGTGAACGAACTCGCCTTACACTTACAGCCAAGACATCTAAATCAAAATTGTATGGATTCAATTTTTTTTTTAATAAGAAAGATGTTAAAGAGTATTACACAAAAATGAATTGAGGCAAAACCAGTTGAGGAACAACATCCGAGTCCTCAGGAATGGTAACGTATGGTGGGTATCATGGGCGAAACAGTACACTCTGTTATGTCCATGGTACTGCTCATGTCTATAGGCGACGGTTACCACTTTCTATCAGGTGGACATAACAGAGTATACTGTTTCGCCCATGATACCCCCATGCGTTGCCATTCCTGAGGATGTTTTTCCTCTGTACCCTGTAAATTCACGCCATATCCCACCCTTCAAACCGAAACACAGCCATGCAGACAACTGCTTTACGGTTGTAACACGGATGGGACAGAAGTACTCAAGCAATCGACTTTTGTACAAAGTCTCCCTCTGGTATAGATAGAATACTTCCTTAAAAGTTTTAATGTATTTATCATTATTATAAACCTACGTGGTTTCTGAATGCTAATGCTAAACATACTTTCTGTAATTTTGTATTTTTGTAATAAAAAAAAAAATGTTGCCAGTAATTTCAAATTGCAGGCGAAATCGTTTCAGCAATCAATATCAATTTAATAAAGCGTCGAACGTTTAAACTGTTATCAATTGACAACTAATCTAACGCTCATTTCGCTTATCATTTATTCTTTGTCTCTCTCTAATAATCTATAGCTCCCCACCTCGGTTCGGTTACCACCAGTTCGTAACAGGATGACTGTATTGATCTAAACACAAAGGTCACAAACAGACAGATATATAGAACATTGATATAGATACTGGACTTATCAATTATTATTTTAGTCAAAGTCGATTCATGTCTGTCTGTCCCTATATATGGTTAGATCTTCAAAACTACGCAACAGATTTTAATACGGTTTCTTTTAATAGATAGAGTGATACGAGAGGAAGGTTTATATGTATAATACATGCATAATATAGTAGAGAAACACTGATAATTTTAGAGGTTTCTAATGTGATGTCGTAATGCAATGGGGGACTCTTATTAGATGATAATGGAATGGTATAGTGTAGTACGAAAGGTGGTCTTATTGCTAAGCAATCTCTTCCAGGCAGCCTTTGGGTAGAAGGAATTAAAGCATAAATAGCTAGCAATATACCTCTATTAGGCCGACCTCTACGTGTTTTTTTTTATGGGTGATAATGGGATGGCAACCCCGTCCGCGCTATCGGTATACACCGACGGGGCACCAGTGAAGGATGATAGGTGAGGATGAAGCAGGTTAGTTAGCCCATCGTGACGAATTCAACAAAAATCGTTCACGATGGTTTCCAAGCGGAACCACGTGGAGGTCGACCTAATAGGGCATATTGCTAGCAATGGGACTGTCAAGCTCCATTGCTAACAATCCCTTTGTCCCTTGCAATGGGGGACCGGCGGCGCTATTTGGACTGATCTTTAATACTACGCAACGGATTTTGAAACGGTTTTTTTTAATAGATAGAGTGATTCAAGAGGAAGGTTTATATGTATAATACATGCATAATATTGTAGAGGAACACTGATAAATTTAGAGGTTTCTAATGTAATGTCGTAATATAATGGGGGACCAGCTGCGCTATTAAGTATCAGCATTGCAATGCGAATCCGGAGCGGGTTGCTAGTTGAAAATAAACACCAATATAGATATACATAAAGTCCATTTTATAATTGACATAAATTTTTATTTTAATGCAAAATACGCGAGTAATTTTAGAAAAAAAAAAAACAGTGAATTCAGTCATGACACATCACATAAGACCTTAGACTGATCAAAATGAATTATTAATCTAAAGATGAAAGACGGAAGCACGTGATAAACACTGCAGATTGCAGAAAAAAAAAGTGAAATAAAAAATCGAGCCCATATTTTTTCTCAAATCATTTAAAAACAACCCCGACTTAACCTCATAGATGTAATTTAAAATATTGTTTTAATATGTAAATAAAATTTGAGCTCATTTTTATTTCAGTCACAACATTGGTTGAAGAAAAAAAAGGTCAGCATAGAAGATACATTGAGGAAAATTAAAGGACAGAGAGAGGCCAACTAAGCTTTCTCTCTCTTACACAAACTTAATATCTATTTATTATTCATCATATTGTAATTTTCATATAAAATGTTCGTAATAGGAAACTCTGAGTCTCGCCTAGTCGATATAAAACAATTAATATTCAATTAAATGTTACATAAATAATTTTAATGCATTATGACTCATAATACTTCATTTTTATGATTCAACATTATAAATCGATATTATAGACAATTATTATATATATAATATTAACGTAATGTTTTTTTTTTTACACAATAATATAATTCATGTCTCTTTAAGAAAATAATATAAATTATACATGTTACATATGTATGACAAAACAACATAATGATGAAGATTACACAATTATATAATAACATTACTATTTTACTTTGAAATTGGAATTAAAAAAATAAAACATATAAAAAAAAAAACGAAATGAATGTAGCAGTGTTTGTGCAAAGGACCTAACTCAGCATATGTCGCAGTTTCATATCCGATATCTACAACACTGATTTTCAGTAGTTCTTGATGTCCCAAGTAAAGGTCTTCTAACTGAGCGGTTCAGACACTTTATTTTGAATTACTTTACCTACTTTAATTCTAGCGTAGCTAGTTTTGTTAGTCCCCTATTCGCTTCTAATGGCGTCCTAATTGGGGGAGAAGGGATTGTTAGTAATGCGGATTATCAGTTCCATTGCTAATAATATACCCTAACAGGTCGATCTCCCTGTGGTCTCCCCTGGAAACCATCGTGCTGAATTTCAAGTGTATTCATCACGATGGGCTAACTGACCTGCCTTTTCATCCTCATCTATCATCTATCACTGGTGCCTCGCCAGCGTATACCATTAGCGTAGGCGGGGTTTCCATTCCATTATCATCCATTAAAAAAAAAATGGCGTCTAAGATTGAATGCGAATAGATACACAATTTTTACTTACTCTGTACCCAAACAAAATATAAAATTGTTGTTTAAAAATATCCAAGTATTTAATGGACATTTTAATTAAATTTTATTTTGTATCTTCCCTAAATAATTCTCCTGGTATTTTTAATTTCGTATATAATTTCAACATTTAAAAATGTTTTATTACTCCCCAGCAATTTGTATTTTGTACCTATTAAAAGCTTGTTTTCATGTCTTTTTCTTTTTCAGTTGTTATTGGGCTCGATTCTGAAGCGCCGTTTTTCTGAACACATTTTTTAATTCAATATTTAAATTTCGTTATTCAGAAATTAGGGTTTTATGGACCGATTTTAAGCTAAATTTATAATAATTTTATTTTAAATGTATTCGAAATTTCATTCATATTGAATCTAAGCATAAGAATTTCGTTGTGTTATCAAACTGAAATTTTAAATTTAAAAATAGATTTAGAAAAATGGTGTCTAAGAATCGATCCCTTTGTTATAATTATTGTATCTAGGAATTTATAATTTTTTCTAAGTGTTTTGGAAGTAATAGGAAATGTAAGGCGTACACAATTTCATAATTTCAATATTCAGGTGTTATTTTAATAAAAATAAATAATGGTAACAATAAATATTTTGCAATAAAATACCTTTATAAATTTAATTATAGAAATAACTGTGTAAAAATATTTCCTTTTAATTACATACTTACTTAATAAATGTATTTAAATGTATTGTATAATTTAAAAGTAAAAAAGAACTCGAGAATGTATTTTTCATATTTTTTAAATATTTATTTCTTGTAAATTATTTAAAATTGCATGACTATTTTAGGTATTAATAATAATTATTAAATGTTAGGTATTGTAATTACTTACAATGAAATACTGGCAATAATAATAATATATATTAAAAACTAAATAATTATAATCACATGATTTTTTTCAATTAATGCTCATTTATAAATGCGTCAATCTTAACTAAATTAGAACCTACGACATTTTTTTATTTTAGTTTAAAAACAGTTAAATGTAAATTTAATTCAGTAAATAATTAAGCACATTCCAGTATCGAAGAATTAAAATTCAGGTCGTACGTAAACGAGTGGAAGGCAAACAAAATAGTAGGCAAGGTGAACTGTGAAGCCGCACACACACAACACAAAGTAATAACCTCGACGACGGCGCGATAACATTACCAGCGATAACGCGATCGAGTAGGTACAAAACTACAATGCCAACTCAACGCTCGACCTACCTATAACTATCGCCATTTCATACTGTCTTCCTCTTGCTTGCCCCACACCCAACGAAATGTTGCTCGTTATAACCGTAAAAAGAGAAAATGAAATACTAAGCGATTATTTTTTATTTTTATAGAAAAGGGTATAGAAAAAATATACGGGAATTTTGAATAATAAAGGATAAATATACCTTCATTTTGTTGTTAATTTAGTTTATTTTGGTATTATCCAGCCAAATTGAAAGATTATAACGTCACTTGTTTATACTGTTTAATTTCTGTGGTTTAAGTTAAGCTACAGATGCGACAGACATAAATGTGTCCGTTTATTTATAAAGATACGTACAATGTATCTTTTAAAATGAACAAGAAAATCAAATATTACACTAGTTTAAAAATTTTATTGCATTATTGTTACGTTTAAATGTATGTCTTGTAGAATGATCACGTAGTTGTCTTGAACGTACTTGAGTACAATTTCATTTGGGCGAATAACCATTCGGTGTTGCCATAATAAAAATGAGTTCGTCTTTTTTATACTTTCCGTAGGCAGTAGCATTACTTCAATGGAAACGTAATGGACGTTCTACAGCTAGGTTTAAGGCTTCGCGATTTTGTTTATATCTCCGATAATCGGCATCGAAAACTTTTGTAATCACTTTTAAAAGCAATTTTATTGCACAAGAATGTAGTGCGTGCATTTATTATTAGGCCAAATCGTGTGTTTTATGTATTTTCCATGTCTTTAGTATTGCACCTTTTGTAGTTAGTAATTGATTGCTGTAAAGTGGAACCAAGCATATTTTTTCCATAGTTTTATTGTTTGAAATTAGTATTTTTGTTGTCGTTATTAAGTTTTAATGAACTTATATTTGTACAATAGTTGTTATCGTGTAAGTTATACTTCGTTTTAAGTGTTTATTCCGTCGAAGATAGTAAAATGGTTTCGTGTTAAGGTGAGTTACTTACGACATTTCTCAATTTATCTACAGTATTTAATGCTTTTCTCTTCGTTGATAACATCTGTTATTATATTCTACTGCTTTATTTACAACTTACGCCATGTCATTTGTTTACCGCGTGTGAATTTATTTATATTATTTATAGTGAATCATTATTTTTATTCACACAAAAATATGTATGGTATTTTTTGTTGGTTGGTTAAAAATGTACACTTCAAATTAAGATAGTATATGTAGCTAATTATAAAAAAATGCGAGCATTAAGCTTTTTCAAATACTGAACATATTTTTTTTTTACAAATTAAGTAGAAGCTAAGACCACAATGTTTACAGCCACATGCATTAACATAGTAATTATGACTTTCACCACAAATTCTTGAATCAATCAAGAATCAGTATAACTGTCCCAATATTATGTATTATAGTAACAAATTATTTAATTTAATAACTTGATAACTATGTAAAATGTTTCGAACAAATAATAAATATTTATTTTGTATATTTATAGTAGATAACTGGGCCCATAGTAGCAGCTTAAGTGTATTAAATTTTAAGGCTGTTCATACTGAAGTCTGATATTGAATTATCAGTAAAAAAAAATTCCATTGATTATTTAAAAAGTTGTTTTGATAGGGAAATAATATGTTAATTATGGAGGCTTTACAACATAGTCCCAAAAGTTATGGGGTACTATGTATAGAATATTCTGTGATGTTTATCAGATGGGCTTTTTTTTAATGGGTGATAATGGAATGGTAACCCCACCAGCGTATTGATACACTGTGAAAGATGATAGGTGAGAATGAAGCAGGTCAGTTGGCTCATTGTGATGAATTCAACAAGAATTGTTCACAATGTTTTCCAGGGGGAACCACGTGGAGGTCGACCTAATAGAGCATATTGCTAGCAATGGGGCTGTCAAACTCCATTGCTAACAATCCCTTTCCCCCCAAAGTATTATTAGATGGGCTGTCAGCTTGTTTACTATTCTAGGCTCCATTTAAATACTTCATATTTTGTGAAGTAAATAAGACTAGCTGTATCCCAAGGTTTTGCCCACTTGAGGCAACATATCCATATATAATATTTATATTTGTATATAAATGAAATATTTCATTCAAATCTGTTCAGTATTTTTTGCAAGAAAGAATAACAAACATCAACAAGAATAACTGTCCATATTTATAAACTTTTGCATAAAACTAGTAGAATTATATGAAAAATAAAATATTATATTAAATGGAAACAACTATATCAGAGAGACTTTGTACACAAGTCGATTGCTTGGGGACCTCTGTCCCATTTGTGTTTCAACCGTGAAGCAGTGTGTCTTTCGGTTTTAAGGGTAGGATATGGCGTGAATTGACAGGGTACAGAGGAATAACACCTGAGTCTTCAGGAATGCTCTGTTCTGTTCTGTATTTAAGAGCAGACACCAACAACCTTTTTTTTTATCTTACTACCTCCAATCAAAATTATTAATTGCCACATACAATACATAAAATGTTTTTATGATTTATCCAGAATGTTGCCATGCAATTATTACATCTAAAGTGAACATTATTATATATTTGTAATTTTTCATATACAGTAAAGTATAAATAAATAATTAAATAATTTTTTTTTTTTTTGAGAAATTATCATAAAACTGTCACAAACAAATAATTATGGTACAGTTTTCATCTGACTTGAAAAGGAAGCAGATTTTCAATTTGATTTGCATTTTTTTTTAATGTTTGTTGCCTTGTAACTTCATCTTTTTTTATACCGCTGGGGTAGCAAACAAGCATACGACCCACCTGATGATAAATGGTTACCGTAGCCTATGAACACCTTTAATATATTTAATATTTTATAAATGCTCATCAATACATACTGGTCACTGTCTGTACATGTAAGATATATATAAGAAGAACTATTATAGGGCTGCTTTATGAGAAATAGATTTTTTGAAAATTTTGTCTGTTTGTATGTTTGTACATGCTAATCTCAGAAATGGCTTAACCAATTTGAATGCTGGTTTCACTACCGTGTTGCAGTTTGTTTCATGTAACATTTAGTTTTTGTTTTATCACAATCGGTTCATAAATAAAAAAGTTATATCAATCTAAGGAATCACATATAAAATACTATAAAATGACTGATCAAATGAATTGGCTGTAACTTTTTTTTGTATATAACAAAAAAAGTATTGATTTACCAGAGGGATACTCGGCAGTGAATTTACAGGGTACAGAGGAATAACACCTCGTGTCCTCAGGAATGGCAACGCATGGGGCAAGCAACATATCATGGATGAAACAGTATACTCTCTTATGTCCATGGTACTGCTCATGTCTATAGGTGACGGTTACCACTTTCCATCGGGTGGGCCGTCAGATTTATTCGCTGCATTGCATTCTAAGTTGCATAAAAATATATTTTCGAATATTCTGTCTAATCGTGTGAAGCTGAATCGGGATAGGCTAGTACTTATTAAAGTTTTAAATTGCAGTACCCTCCCCCTTTTTTGCCTATCCCTATTCTTATTCTGTCTCATCCTCATGGGTTCATATTCTATCACTAACACATCTGCCCATCGTCTGGTTTTTTTTTGATGGGTGAAAATGGTATGGTACCCCGCCTGCGCTAACGGGATACGCTGGCGGAGCACCAGTGAAGGGTGATAGATGAGAATGAAAACAGGCCAGTTAGCCCATCATGATGAATTCATCAGGAATTAACCATGATAGTTTCCAGAGGGAACCGCGAGGAGGTCGACCTGGTTGGGTATATTGCTAGCAATGGGATTTTCAGTCTCCATTACTAACAATCCCTTTCCCCCCATCGTCTGGTTGGCCGAGCTCTCTTCATTTTCAACCAACTTCAATAAGAAGGGAACTCTCAATTTAGTTGTATTTTTTTTTATGCTTGTTACTTATTTCAGAACTCCATTATTTTAGAAAAACCTTTTTTGTCTGAAAAAAAAAATATGTTTACAGGTTGGTCCTGTAGAAATTTGACCAAAAATCAATTCATTAGTTTTTAAATTAAAACAACTAATTCAGATTCAGAACTGATATCAGAAAATTTTGGCCAGTTCCACTAGTCCACTGCCATTTTCCCCCCTAGGGGATAAGTGTGGATTTTTTTCCACCTGTCCCTACCACTATATGACCAGAGGGCCTACCATGAAGTATTTTCCGAAATTTCGGGGACGAACGAAACAGAAATTTGATGTTAAAATTACATAATACATGTTGTTTAAAATTATTAAAAATGTTAAAATATCACTCCTATGGACTATTAGAATAGGATTTATGATGAACGAAATGTTAAGTTCCATTTACTGGGTCGATTTTGATACGAACAAAAACACGAAATTGAGAAATTCCGAAATTTCGGAATTTCATTTCATGGTAGCCACCTGTATCTAATGAAACAAATGTTACTTTTCCCTACTGTTTTTGTTTTTTTTTTTTTGTAATAATAAGTACAGTCTTTTAGAAAAATAGTAATACAAAAAAAGGGTAGTTATATTGAGGTCTTACATACAAAAAATGGTCTGAAAGAAAAATTAAATTGGTTAGGGATGACAATAGAAATGAATAAAACCAAATAATAAAAATAAAAAGTACCTAAACAGTGACATGAAAGCTAATAATGCGACCGAACCATAATGTAACGGTAACTGATCTTTTGAAACTAAACTCTTATTCCATCGCTAAACTACCTGGTGACAGGGTTTAAATTTTACCACGAAAGTAACGGTAGACTACGCATTTGTTATCCCGTGTTTATGAATATGAAAATTGGTTAATTCTGTCTTGTTACTTGGATTAAAAGTAATCTGGCTTTACTCTATGTATATTAATAAGAGAGTTGGTAAAGAGTGAGGAAAACTCTAAAATTAGCTAAAAAACCTGGAAATTAATATCCGGGAACAAGCTGCACTCATACGGGGGTGGGGCTACAAAAAATAAAAAGAGAATGAGAGAGTTGGGGGGGGGGTAGAAGGGATAGTTAGTAATGGGGAGGTTAGTCCTCATTGCTATCAATATACCCTATCAGGTTGATCTCCAGGCGGATGAAACTATCGTGTCTTAGAAACTATCGTGACTAATTTATTGTTGAATTCGTCACGGTGGACTAACTGACTTGCCTTTTCATCCTCAGCAATCATCCCTCACTGGTTCCTTTGCTAGTGTATACCGATAAAGCGGACAGGGTTGCCAATTAGTTGACATGCATTAAAAAAAATAAAAGAGTTAATGTTTTAAATGCGTATCTCTCGAAATTGCGGCCAGTCAAAGCAAGAACTTTATGAATTTTTATTTGTCTTGTAAATTTACGGCTAATCTTTTCTCTCTCTCTCTTTTTTTTTTTCTCTCTTTTCTTAATTCCTTTCTTGTTACCTACAATTAATTGTTATTGTTGATTTTTTTTGCAAGCTGCAAACTCTTTTGTTCCTATTTTAGCCGGATCGTATTTTATCTGAGACAATAGGTGCATCCCTCACAGCCAATTGTTATTTCAAATAATCTTTGAATTCTTAGTTTACTCTCTGCGTCGTCGTTAAAAGTAGGTACAGCAACATTGGTAGCTATTTCATTATTTCTCCGACTACCTGGATTTCGGCGTAACTTTCCAAAATTTTTGAATTCATCCATTGACGTTTTGTGTAAATACTTTACCACCACATGTACGACAAGTCACGTGCTCCGAAATAACTGTAAAACGACAGTAAACTGTAAAAGAAAATATGACAACATAGAATTGCATGAAACCTCATGTAATTTTTTTTTATGCAACTTAGAATGGCAAGCGAGTTGACGGCGCATCTAATATAGTTACGTCGGCTATAGACATGAATAGTGCTATGGACATAACAGAGTATACTATTCGCCCATGGTACTCCCCATGCGTTGCTATTCTTGATGACTAGAGTGTACTTCTGTACGTTGTAAATTCACTGTCATATCTCATCCTTCAAATCGAAAAATAGTCTTGCAAACACAATTGCTTTACGCTAGAAACACGAATAGGATCGAGGTACCCAAGTAAACGAGTTTTGTACAGTCTTCCTCTAGATTGTTCTGTGTATTCGATATCATTTTACATCTTATCAGACCATTCGGGAGGCTGCTTTATAGGGCTTGAAGAACGTTCACTTTTATTGCATTTATGACGTTTCAGAATTTTTTAAAACTCAAATAAGACACAACTGTACGCTTCGAATGAACAAAGACAACTAATGCAAAGAGTATATAACCAAAGGAAAAGAGACTGCACTTCATACAAACCACGTAAAACGACTTAGTCAGGAATATCTTACCAATCTACACAAAAAATCCTTTTTTTTTTTCGTTAAGTTGGCCAGCCTGATGTTTAAATATGGAAACGAATAGAGTTATATTATAGTTTGATAGTAGAAACGCGAATCATGTGATAAAAGAAAATATAAATTTTATGTCAAATTGCATGTTCCGATAAACATTTTTTTTTAGCAAAAATCAAACAAACAATAATATTTTTAAACATATTTATTACTAGCGACCCGCCATCGACAAAAGTTGATTGCTTGGGTACCTCTGTCCCATTTGTGTTTCAACCGTATAGCATGTGTGTTTGCATGGCTGTGTTTCGGTTTGAAGAGTGGGATATGGCGTAAATTTACTGGGTACACTGTACCTAACAGAGGAATAATACCTGAGTCCTCGAGAATGGCAACTCATGGGGGGTATCATGGGCGAAATAGTATGTTAAACTGTTATGTCCATGGTTCTGCTCATGTTTATAGGAGACGGTTACCACTTTCCATCAGGTGGACCGTCTGCTTGTTTGCTATTCTAAGTTGTATAAAAAAAATACTTTGCAAACCTCCCCAGGTATATTTAAGATAATAAAGACTGGACACTAGAGCCGTTCCGAAAGTAACAGGATAAACGTCTTAAACAAAAGACAGTTACGCGCAACAAAAACATCGGGCGGTCGCTTTTTCTGCCATAACTCTATATTTATGGGGATTTTTTGCAACCGATTTTAATCAGAAATAAGCCTAAAACTATAAAGAACAACAATGTGTAAAAAAAAGTATTTTTTTGAAAATTCTGGCCTTAATAGATTTGCCGCGTGGCCCCGGTATAGAATGGATCACCACCTTTTTCCCGTGGGTGTCGTAAGAGGTGACTAAGGGTAATCAATGGTCGAGGGATGTGCAGTAGCGTCGTTCTTAAGACATCAAACCCTAACTGAACCGATTTTGATAAAATTTCTATAAGTAAGTATAACTTTTTAGATAAAAAAAAGTAGAATTTTCCAAATCGATTTAGAACTGACGGAGTTATGAGGCAACAAACATAAAAAAAAAATCCAACCGAATTTATAACCTTCTTGTTTTTAAAGTCGGTAGAAAAGACACCAAGATATATATAAATATCTATGGAATTAATCAGAAAGTATATCCTTTCAGAGAAAAAAGAATTTTCCAAATTGTTTTGAGGTAATGTACTTGAAAAGAATGATGTAAGAATGAAATGTGAACCAGCTCCTTTTTTGAAGTCGGTTTATAAATATAATGAAACCGTCTCTTTGCAGTAAACAAAAATCAAATAAGAATGGCACTGTGTGAGAGTAAGCTGGATTCTCCCCTGCCGGCTTTGAAGCACGAAGAGTCTTCTCCGCGCAGCGAAGAAAGCCAGGAATCACCGGAGAAGAAGGCCAAGCTGGAACCAAATGGGGATGTATATGGTAATTACGTTTACATATTAATTTGTTTTTGTTCATCATCACTAAATGTACAGTGAATGAATGAAAAGATTATGAGTGTTGGCAGCTCCCAACAAAATTTTGTTTGCTGGCATAAAAACTTTTTATTATATTTTTAATTACAATTAAAAATATATGTCAATTGTCAGGAATTGGGGAACGAATTAAAATTATATTTCTATATATCTTTGGCCGTTTAAATATTTAAATCCATGTATCAAGATTGAGTTCAATACCAATTTGGTCCTTCGAGCCGGATGATGTTAGAGTCAATCCTTTCAATACAATGAGCGATGCTGGTGGTATGTGGCCGTGACCACTAGAAACTGATGAATCGACGATTTTTCGTGTGGTCCTGGTATAGAATTGGCCCCTTTTCCTTTCCCGTGGGTGTCGTAAGAGGTGAATTAGGAAGTCAAGTAATCAGGGATGAGTAGCAGCTCTCTTAAAATATCGCCAAAACTTAACTGCAGTTGCCTATCCGCCTATCAAGGGTGGCAAATAGTGGCAGATTTATACATTGCCTGAAGATGCCTCGTATAAAGGTGAAATACGTTTCGCAAAACATGCGTAGACATAATGGCGGTCGGAGATCTATGGCTAGTATGGAAGGTTATAGTATTTCTGGTAATGACAATAATAGGCAATATATGAGCGTTGACAGTAACGCGTACTAATGACCTTATATTCGCATATGGGGTCAGCTAACTTGTTGCACGTCGACCCATCAGGATCTTTTTTTTATACAACTTAGAATGGCAAACAAGCTGATGGCCCACCTGATGGTAAGTGGTAACCGTCGCCTATACACATGAGCAGTACCGTGGACATAACAGAGTATACTGTTTCGTCCATGATACCCCCCATGCGTTGCCATTCCTGAGGATTCAGGTGTTATTCCTCTGTACCCAGTAAATTCACGCCATATCCCACCCTTCAAACCGAAACACAGCCATGCAAACACAACTGCTTCACGGTAGAAACACGAATGGGACAGAGGTACCCAAGCAATCGACTTTTGTACAGAGTCTCTCTCTGGTATCAAAGAATGGCTTCTATGGTGGCCCAATTGTCGACCCCCGTACGTGACTGAGTTATAGTAACACGATCGAATGTATTACATGGACTTTCACTCCGCAACTTTTGTACATTGCAATACAAACATGTCGATTTTGCTCTACAAAAAAAGCAACCACTGAAATCGACATAAAATTTTGTTCATCAAAAAAAAGAACGCTTCAATCGTGATGTTTCGTCAGTTATTTTGATTAAAAATTAAACCAGTGAAAAGATTTTGATGAAATTCTTCTGAATTTGTAAGATTCAGAAGGTATAACCATTCGGATAAAAATAGAATTTTCCAAATCGGTTTATAAATAACAGAGATATGAAATAACAAAAGTGAAAAAGTATAAAAAATTAAAGACCTCCTTTATAGAAATCGATTAAATTTGGATTTTTTGAATTTGGAACACGACATCTCCAGTCTACGAATACATTTATAATATATAAGTAGATTTAATATAGGATCAATACTACAATAAAACTTGTCGATTGAAAATGAATCAATAATATCGGTTTAGGATTTTCTCCGCAAAGAAAAATGTTTCAATCGTCACAAAATTAAAATGGAATCCACTCGGATTTTTTTTTAACCAATCCAAAAGTAATTTTGTAAACTGTTTCAGAACTGGTCACTGGTCATGTAAACTTATAGTCACAAAAAAAAATATAAACGAGTTAAGAACCTCCTTCTTTGCCAATCTCTAAAAACAAATTCAAATCCTGACAGTATTTAAATGGTTTAAAAAAAAAAAACATTCAAATATCGAATCTTTTAAATATCACTGAATATTCACTGAAGATCAGGCTATATGATTTAGTTCCTTTGCCTTTCCCATTGTGGATAAATTAATACTACAACTTCTATTTTTTTTTTCAGGGGCAGGCGGCATACCTCTTGTGGATTACAGATCCCCCGTTTCACATTTCGTTCCGCCGGAGTTGTATGCCGCGAGACACAAGCCAGAGCCAGTCGCTTCTCGTAAGTATTGAAATGTAGGGTTCTGTACGTAGGTAGCATGAAATAGGTAATGTTTTTATACAGTATGTTTAGCTTTAGCTAAGAATCTATCCATGCTATTAGAACAGATATTCGGAAATGAAAGATATAAAAACGACAAAAACTATCTAGTCACTATACAAATTTAACAGTTAAGGGGGAAGGGATTGTCAGTGACAAGGGAGTTAGTCCCCATTGCTAGCAATATACCAAGTTATCGCGAAATCCATGTTCATCCCCCTCTCTCCTCCTCTCTTCCGAAACCATCGTGGTTAACTCCTTGTGAATTCACTATGGGCCCACTGACCTGAATACATCCTTGACTATTAACAAACAAATAACAAAAAAAAAAAACTAAACAACTAAAATTGGCTTGTTAGACATCATGACTCACCCTGACTTCGCTCGGTTTGACAGGTAGATTTTTTTAAATTAAAATATCGCCCATGTTACTAACAGATAATGTAGTTTTCCATTGATGAAAGATTTTTTAAATTTGTTTAAATAGAAATTTATCCTCTTAAAAGACAATTTTAGATTTTTATAAGTAGGGGGATAGTCTCTGACCATTATCCTTAATCCATAATCCTTATTTCCAGCTCCAGAACTGTCCAATGATACCCCAACGCCGGCTAAGAGGAAGCGAGGTAGACCGCGTATCGACAAGACGAGTCCAGAGTACCTAGCCAGCATGGCTGTCAGAAAACAGGCGAAAGAAATGGGTGAGTGACTTCTAAAATTCACCTTCTAGACACTATCCCTTGGACACTACCATCTAGACACTTCCCTGGAAATTGGTCATACATTGCCTCTTAGATGTTACTTCCTAGGGCGACTTCCACGCTTTTTCCCCTAGAAACGGTTGTGGTCTTACAGAATTCGTCACGTTGCACTAACTTGCTTTTATCTTCATCTTTTGTCTCTCACTGGTGTAATACCAGCGTATATCGATAACACAGCAGCGTTAATAAATCATTTTCACCTTTCACCACTATCCCTTGGACACTTTTCTATGGTCACTACCCATTAGACGCTGTCTACTGAATACTGCCCCGTAGACGATATCCACTGGACATTGCCCCGTGGATATGACCCATTAAAGACTGCCGCTTAGACACTATCCCCTGGACATTGCTCCCCTGAATACAATCCCCTGGACACTACCTCTTAGACACGGGGGGAAAGGAATTGTTAGTAATGGGGTCAAACAACCTCGTTTTTAGTAATCACGCGGTTCTCTCTGGAAACCCTTTATTTTTTACCTCTCATCATATACTGCTGTCTCGCTAAGCGTATACCGATAGCGCAGACGGGGTTTCCATTATCATTTATTAAATAAAACCCCTGATAGATAGATAGATAGATAGATAGATAGATAATTTATTTACATTACTTACAGTACACAAATTACAATACAAACATACACATAATACACAGTAAAAGTGATAAAAGACATGAAAATAAAAAAGCAACAAAACAAAAAAAAAATGCCAAAAGCAAAATATATAAACCAACAATTTCCTTTCTTTCCTTTCCTTCATGCGTATGCCATAGTAACACAAAATGGTCACAACTCTATTGCTTTGCCCTTAAAAGAGCAAAACACTGATATCTGTGGGCCGCTGGTTCCTCATAAAGTCGCTACAATGGTGGTCCATTAACCTGACTTGAACTTCACCTGTCATTCCGCACTAGTTCTCTGTTTCTAATTGCTAAATTTAAATGTACCTTGATAAACAGTACCGTTATTCTAAATAGACGATAATGGAATGGTAAACCTGCCTGCGCTATCGGTATACGCTGGCGGGGCACCAGTGAGAGGTGGTAGGTGAGGATGAAAAGGCAGGTCAGTTAGCCCATCATGATGAATACATCTGGAATTCAGCACGATGGTTTGCACAGGGAATCACGTGGAGGTAGACCTGGGTATATTGCTAGCAATGGAACTGGTACTCCGTATTACTAACAATCCCTTCCCCAAAAAAACACCATAGGTAGAACTTACCAGAGGGAGACTGTACAAAAGTCGATTGCTTGGATACCTCTGTCCCATTCGCGTTTCAACCGTGAAGCAGTTGTGTTTGCATGGCTGTGTTTCGGTTTGAAGGGTGGGATATGGCGTGAATTTACTGGGTACCGTGGAATAACACCTGAGTCGTCAGAAATGGCAACGCATGGGGGGTATCATGGGCGAAACAGTATACTCTGTTATGTCCATAGTACTGCTTATGTCTATAGGCGACGGTTATTACTTTCCATCAGGTGGGCTGGTAGCTTGTTTACTATTCTAAGTTGTATAAAAAAAAAACACAAATTAACAGAACGTACCGATATCAAATCCTTAATTTGTAATATAACAAAATACATAGCATGGAGGGTAGGAGGTCGCAAAATATTTTTATGTTTTAAGGGGGTTGCGCCACGAAGAAGTTTGAAAAACTCTGGCAAATTGTATTGCTACCAGAACTAAAGGTGAATACAAAATTTAAATAAAATTAAATTTGATAAATAAAAATAGATCTAAACTAATATAAATCCTATTAAATTAACAATGAAAGAATATTACTTTTTCACGCAAAAACTACTGGATTGAATGAAATTTGGTACAAGGGTAGGTTATATCCTCAGTACATAGGATACTTTATGTATTGGGTCACCGTAGGATACATCTAGTGAAAGATATATAGATAAATAATAAATCTATTATTTTCAGGTTATAGGTACCCATAGTTTACAGTCCTTGCGATTATAATTTACTTTTAATTAATTACAATTTTTATATTATTAATTATATGTACAAATACATAAAAATGGGGATAAATTACTATTGAAATTTGCCTGAAAATTTTTTTCGTATTTCATTTTTCCCCATAGCTGCAGTTATGAACAACAGGACGCCTTCAAGTGATGCAGGCGAGAAAAGGAAGCGAGGTAGACCAAGGGTGGACAAGACCAGCCCTGAATATCTGGCCAGGAAGCGAGCTAGGGAACTTGGTGAGTTACGCGTTCTTAGTTTAAAGCTTGGAGTATATATGTATTATATTTATAGTTTATCCGAGCAGTGTTATCAACTATTCTCTTGTTTATGTGTAGAATAACATATATACATATATGACGTCATTATCATATCAGCCTTTACCTGTTTACTGCTGAATATAAACCTCCCCTGGTTTTCCCAGTAGTTGCCATGCTAGACAGACGGATTGGCAACCGCAGTTAGGCATTGGAGATGTTTTAAAAGAGACGCTGCTGCCCATTACTCGACCTATTTACATATATGCAATACTGTACATGAATGTATATATTTATTACTAGGTTTCTTGAAGGTCGGTCCGTGTGAGTCAATACATAAGGTATCCTATGTATTAAGTTAGGATATAACTTACCCGTGTACTAAATTTCATTCAAATGTGTAGAGAGGTTTTTGCGTGAAAGAGTAATAAACGTCTATCCATTTATCCATCGTTATGCAGGATTTATATATACACAGAGGGAAACTTTGTACAAAAGTCGTTTGCTTGGGCACCTCTGTCCTATTCGTGTTTCTACCGTGATGCAGTTGTGTTTGCATGGCTGTGTTTCTGTGAATTTACTGGGTACAGAGGAATAACACCTGAGTCCTCAGGAATGGCAACGCATGGGGGGTATCATTGGCGAAACAGTATACTCTGTTATGTCCATGGTACTGCTCATGTGTATAGGCGACGGTTACCACTTTCCATCAGGTGGGCCGTCAGCTTGTTTGCCATTCTAAGTTGCATAAAAAAAAAAAAAAAACTATTTGTTTTTTTTTTATATATATAATTCAGTCTGTGTATCTCTGTAAATTTTAGTATTATGCATAAATTTACATTAGGTTGAGTGGGAGAGAATGCTTTCAGTATTAACTCTGTCTTATACACATTAGGGGTGGGTAATATGTAGCAATATTTGGGGGGGGGGGGGAAAGGGATTGTTAGTAATGGAGACTGAGAATCCCATTGCTGGCAATATACCCAACCAGGTCGACCTCCTCATATACGAGAGACTTCTACGCTATGTTTATAACATTCTGATATAAATGTTAAAATTAAATATTTCTTTTACAGAGGCCGTGAACAGGAAAGCCAAAAGGGAATACAAACGTCGGGGAGCCGCTGGTAAGTTGATTATACGTTTATTTGTTTATTACATTATCAGTCAATAGATGGCGCTTTTTATTAATTTGAATATTACGAAAGTTGCCGACAAATATCGTAAGTCTCAATAAAATATTCACCTTAGGTAATAGCTATTTCACACGGTATTTGTATTAATAAATAAAAAGTGATGCGTTGGCTCAATAGATGGCGCTTTTTATTAATTATAACAAAAGTTACTGGCAAATATTTAATAAGGCTCAATACAGTGTTTATCTCAGCTAAGGAATCTTTCACACACTAGCAACAAGTGTATAAAATATGGGTATATTAACGCTATGTAGTTACCGTAGCGGTATGTTATAAAAGAGCCCTAATGCTCATCATATACAATTTATCTTTCAGTTCTACGATTTTGTTGTTCTATATAAAATTAAATCAGACATCAATAAAAATACAAGATCAATCCGGCGTTTTATTTTAAAAATCGAAATACGAACCTTTTTCGACAATAGCTCCGTATTATTCTATAGATAGTTTTTATGGAAAAGCGCCATCTATCGGCATCAAGTGAAAACATTTATCGATTTAATGTATATTTACTGCTCAAATATTAGAAGTTAAATATTCGCGTTTAACCGATATGTTTATTTCACAGTTACTCGTACATATTACAGTATAGCATCGATATATTTTCTCCCACTGTTAAACAACTTTATCATTCACTAGCGATCTGCCCCGGCTTCGCATGGCTAGATAAATAGAAGAATAAATTCGCATTTTATATTAGTTTTAATAGGCAAATTTTTGATGCCTTTTAAAATACAGTAGGATAGGTAGTAGATCAAATTATACAGACAAACACAAATATACAAAATTTAAAGTCAGTTAAAATATTTTTACCGTTAGGGCGATCTTTTATACCTTTTTTATTCTTTATTTCAAAGTTTCATTGTGAATAAGGCCAACTAAAGGTTTCCTTTCCTTTATAAATTCTAATTTTACATTTATCCACATTTACACAGCTATATGTATGAATGTGTGTATGTAAAAATCTTTATTGTACATAATTTACATTGGACAGATTAAAATATTTAATATACAATGGCGGACTTATCCCGTACAGTCTCTCTCTCGTACAGTCAACCTTTGAGAAGCTGAAAGAAAACTAATAGAATGTTCAAGGGTGAAAACTGTACAGCTAAAGATAAACTCAATAATACCTAGTTAATTTTTTTTTATCTTCTACTCTCATTACTTCACTACATATATTAGAAAACAAAGTCGCTTCTCATCTGTCCGTCCCTATGTATGCTTAGATATTTAAAACTACGCAACGGAATTTGATGCGTTTTTTTTAATACATAGAGTGATTCAAGAGGAAGGTTTATATGTATAATACATGCATATTATAGTAGAGGAACACTGACAATTTTAGAGATTTCCAATGTGATGTGATGTGTACCCGTGCGAAGCCGGGGCGGGTCGCTAGTCTAGGATAAGAGAAAATCATGCCCTGGCAATTGTATAAACAATTATTTGATATTTACAAAGAAATGTTGTTCAACAGTGGGATATTAGAGATATGTTACTTCATGTAACATATGTGTGTGTGTGTGTGTGTGTGTGTGTGTGTGTATGTTTTAATTTGTAAATAGCGTATAATAGTATGGCGTGGTTCACTCATTTATCACCATAAGGTTAAATGCTCACTATGCAGGAGAGCGTACTGGTACCGAAATCATTGAGGGATAGAATGTAGCCATGATCTTATTTGTAATAGAAGCCTTTTTGCAGAAATATCTTCTATTATGCTCGTGGTGCTGTTCATGTCTATAGACAATGGTTACCACTTTCCATCAGGTGGGCCGTCAGCTTGTTTGCCATTCTAAATTGTGTAATAAAAAAAAATGATTTCTATTCTATTTATTCATCATTTCTGTTATTGGCTAACCCCCCGCGCTCTTATTTAATCATAAAAAGTTCAACTCTTTCATGAACCTACTTTAGCTATTGAACTCTTCTGCCTCTTTCTATTGCGCTAAATTCCTAATTTGAAAGAAAGTAACAAAACATTGTGATAGTTACAATAGGTTTATAGAATATTTTAGTTTTTACGAATCAGAATGCTATTTTAGCATTAAGTCCACCATTTGTACCATATTTTCTTTGGTCAATAAAGTTACTTGAATAAAAAAAGTAAAAAAAAACCGGGTAATTTCTTATTTAAAGACAACATCTTTAAATAATCACTGGTACTGGCATTTCAGACAAGTATATATTACTGTGTGAAAAAAATTAAGCAATTTCTATTAGATATGAGTAATATCTATATCGCCCTCTAGTGTGAAGAGCATTTAGTTTGTTTTAGATTCCTCAAAGCAAGAAAGGTTTTAGAGAAATTCAATGAAAATAGCTGTATAACCTTTTTTATTTAGAATGTAATAGACAAATCCTTTGTGCCTAATCAGGTTTATAACGGCCCATTTTATGGCCCAGCGTAGTGAGCATTGACCTTAACACCTGCGTGTAATAATGTGTCACAATATGTCTAAATTATACGAAGAATTAGCCACATTAACTAATGATCGTTTCAATTAAATTGATCATTTGAAGGACGGTAATGGTACCACGTTCCGGGAACGGCAATGATAATTACCATTCTTTGTATGGTAATTAAAAATGATAAATGGTGCAAAGGAATAACATCTGAGTCCCTCAGGAATGGCAACGCATGGGCGGTATCATGGGCGAAACAGTATATTCTGTTATGTCCACAGTACTGCTTATGTCTATAGTCGATGGTTACCACTTTCCATCAGGTGGACCGTCAGCGTATTTGCCATTCTAAGTTAAAAAGAAATTAAAAATGATGCGTTCTGCCGTTTCTAGTATTTTTTAGACATATTTCAAATATATTACTAACTTTTTAGTCATTGTGCCGGGAGAAAGGAAATATTTAACGTTTTTAAGTTGTACAATTAGGTATGTGACAGATATTAAAAAACAAATTTCGAAATTTTTGTCTTTGGTAAGATTCGTTACTGACTACATTAATAGACAGTAATTTTTTTTTATTACCATCGACAATGGTAATTAGGACGCTTTGCTATTATTCTTATAATATATATAGCATTGTGTAAATTTAAGTCTAGTTTTTTTTTTGTTTGAAAATTGTCCCAATATTGTACACCGCTCTACTCGCTGACAATGATGCTCTTTCCTACTTTGGGTGGTGCTGGTAGAGAACTCTTTTAGAGTTAAGCTCGCCTTTGTACATTTACTAAGCTCTGTCATATTTTGATGTACCCAAATGTGTACAATAAAATATAAGGATAAAATAAAATATATCTTTTTTTTTCTTTTTTTAAAATCTGTCACTAACATTTTATAAAACCACATCATGTATTTCATTAAAACCATGCATTACTAGTGAAGTTTAAATTTAAAAAGAGACTGTCATTATAAAGTTGTAGATAAAAAGTAGACGAAGTTTTATTTATGAAATTGTATGAAATTTGCATAATGAAATTTTACATATAGTCTTTTATTGCACTTTTAAATTACAAAGAGCTCAGTTTCAGCCATATGTTCAGTGGGATATGGCAGTAAATTTACAGGATACAGAGGAATAACACCTGAGTCCTCAGGAATGGCAACGCCTGGGCGAGTTATCATGGGCGAAACAGTATACTCTGTTATGTCCATGCTACTGCTCATGTCTATAGGCGACAGTTATCACTTCCTATCAGGAGAGCAGTCAATTTGTTTGCCATTCTAGATTGCATAAAAAAAAGCCAATTAAATACAAAATGCAGTTAATGTATTACTGTTTTAACATATTTAATTCTAGTAATGCACGGTTTGAAGCAATATCATAAGTATGTATATAATTTTAATAGTGAAACCAATCAACAAAACGACGATAAAAGTATCATCACGCATTAAAAAGTTACCGGCGGGCAAAAAAATTAACGCCAACGCCAGGAAGTTAACCACAAAAATGGGAGCGATGAGGAAAGTAGCGGACAAAAAAGTTATAATACGCCGAAGTGCAAAATTTATAAAGCGAAAAGGTAATCCTTTTGTAGGTAGAGATTCGGTGTGCATGTAAGTAGTTTGATGGATAATTAGGCGTGAATGGTATTTAGAAGGACAATGGAATACAATAAAATACATGGATATTGTAGGTTCACTAAAGTTGGTATCGATTTATGTGATTTAAAGAATTGATTTATAGTTGATACGGTACAATAAGGCCAATGATAAACGGATATAGGTTTAAGGTGGTTGATCACTAAACCGAATTGTACATGGAAAACTAGATGGCGCTAGAATCGTGTCTTGTGGTTTTTTTGTTGTTTATTTTGTAATGAAAAATGATTTGACGTAAAATTTCTAAATTGGCGAGTGCATTTATTTATTTATTTTTTTACCGATATAATAATAATTTGATAATAATTTTTGTCTTTATTCTGTCATATTGTACAAGTTTGTTAAAAAAATACATACATATTTGCAAGAAACATTGCAACTGAAAGAGTTATAATTAATTCAGGAAAAGATCGCGTATTATCTGTCACTTCACATTATATACATAATAATAAAAAGGCACTCGGCAATTTAGAAATTTTATTAAAAATTATTTTTAAATACAATAATAATACAATAATCAACGAAATCCACAAGTCTCGACGCCAACGCCATCTAGTATTTCTTGTATTATTTTATTTAGTGATCAACCAGTTTAAAGTTTTTAAATTTTAAACGATTTATAAAATTAGAAGGAAATCGATTTTTTTGCGTTTCGTATGTATATTATGCGATATCTTTTCAAATTTTAAATAGATTTTTGCAATCAATAGGATTATGATGGAAGCTGTTGCTTTTTTACGGAAGATCTTAACTCATCCATTTGAACGATATTAGTGAGCCGTGTGGTCCCGGCATAGAATGGACTACCCCTTCCTTTCCCGTGGAAGTTGTAAGAGTCAATTGGTCGAGGGACAGGCAGCAGTGTCCCTCCTAAAACATACCAAAAGACTAGCATCTCTGGCCCTACAGACAAGTGAAGCGATTTCATCAATGGAATCGACATCGCTAACGAGTCTGTGAGATAGAACGAGATGACAACATCGGATGTCTCATTCTAACATATGGATTCGCTTTCAATAACGATTCGATCCATGGATTTGCTTGCCACTTGTATAGAAAATCTAGTGTTGCAAGCGTTCATAAAGTTATTACCACAGAATTACTACTTGATAAGTATTTAATTACCATTCATGATTTAAATGCTAATGAGGTGGTTTATGGTATATAAAAATCATGTTTTACCATTGTCCTTATTTTTTTTTTTTATATTGAATGTCCTTTAAAGTATTTTAAATGAATGAAAATTATCATGACTAATTGCTGAATTATGGGATATTAAATTTATTAGAAATTAAAAAAAAAGTTGAACAGTAGTATTTTAGAAATAAACTATGTATATGGGACTGGGAATGAGTATTTTTTTTTTGTTTTTTATATAAAGTAGTATTTTTATTTTATTTTTTTTCCAAATTTATTATCTACAGCATGTTGGAACAGTTTGTCGCTTTTGGATGTTAACTTTTTTTTTCTTATGGGATTTAATTTTTTTTTTAATCTAAGTACGTTTTTAGTTGATTATGTAATTTTACAGGCATATTTTTTAGTAGTAGCGTTTTAACGCCATCTAGTGAGTAAAGTGGTAAAGATAAATGTTGGTGAAAAGTGATGTTGCTCGGTGAAGAATGAGAGAGTGAAAGAGATATACGGACAAGTATATATATATATATATATATATATATATATATATATATATATATATATATATATATATATATATATATATATATATATATATAAAATAGATAATAATACGTAATTTCTCAAATGTGTGTGCGTCTCATAAAATTTCTTTAGTTTACAAATCAGTTTGGGGTTTTTCAAAAAGGTTTATTAAGGTTTCTGCAGGGTTGGCAATGAGCACGTGACATCGATGGTATCGCAGGCGTCCATAGGCTACAGTGACCGTTTATTCGCCACTTTTGTGGTATGAAAAAAATTACGAAATTTCTGAAGATTTTGGACTATTTTTTTTATGTATTTATCGAGATATAGTCGTCGATTGTGTTAACAGTTTTTTTTTTTTTTAATGGAAATGCTTACTTCAAATTGTCGCATACTAATTACGAATATTAATATTTTAATGTAATAACTACTAACTTAAAGTGTAACTCGACTAGTTTCGGGACCAATTCGGCACCCTTAATCGTGAGCGGCTGTGACGCGACCTCGGCATTATTGCATTTAATGCCTGTTATTACATTAAAATAAAATATGTGCTTATAACAAAATTAATATATTAATTCTTTTTTGTAATAAATCTACATAGTCATAAGCCTTTTAAATTGGTAGTTTTTTTTTTAGAATTTATAACAGGGTGTAATGTAACATTTAATTTCATGTTCTTTTTTTTTTTTTAAAGTAAAATGGGAATGCGTATTATCTTTGTGTTATGCTTATTTTTTTTTTGTAAACAGCGCCATCTACCGGTGATAATTAGAATCTATTACACCCTGTACATTTTGAATGGTATATTGCTTAGTAGAATAACTATGAAATTAGAATGCACGCAAAAATGCTTTATATTAGTATGTAATTCTTTTTAATTGGTTGAAATTAGAATGGTAACCCCGCCTGCGCTATCGGTATACGCTGGCGGGGCACCAGTGAGGGATGATAGGTGAAGATGAAACTAGATCAGTTGGCCCATCGTGAAGAATTTGACAAGAATTAACCACGATGGTTTCCAGGAGGAACCGTGTGGAGGTTGACCTACAAATTTCTCTAATGAACTTAATGGTTAAGGGGCATGCAAGGTTGGGCGGCAGCGTCCCTCTTAAAACATCACCAAAGCCTAACTGCTGTTGCCAACTCGCCTGTCAAGCGTGGCAGCTACTGGCAAAGTCTCCCAATAGACTATCTGCCTATGTTCAGCAGTGGACAGCTAATGGCTGATGTGATGATGAGGATGGTAGGGATATATAAAAACACATATTTTTAATGTCAAGATTTCATTTCTATACAAAATAGAAGTTTACACGGATTTTTACAAATATTATAAATGTAAAAATAGGTTTGTTTATTACCTTAAAAGGACCTTAAAAGCTTAATCGATCACTATGAAATGTGGTATATATATATATATATATATGTATAATAGAATATATATATATATATATATATATATATATGTATATATTGTTATATATATATATATATATATATGTATATATTGTTATATATATATATATATATATATATATATATATATATGTATATATGTTGTTATATATATATTATACAGTATCGAGAGGAATATAGGTTGTCATTAATCTTGCATGAAACTGCCATACATTATTTTTTAAATTTTACACAATTCTCATCTCCCCTCTTAAGGAGAGGAGATGGCAACTATCTCCCGGCAGAAGCACAGTCGGCCCGGGTTCAGGGCCCCAGGGAGAGAAACTGGCGTACAATGCGGGTTGCCGCAGTCGGGTATTTTTTTTTGGAATACAATTTTAAATGACTCCAATGTAAAGACGGTTGGTTAGTTACAAATTTATTAAGTTAAATACTTCATAAAAGATTTTATGTTCCAGACTCAGCCGCCTCGTCCTCGGCCGGGGACACGACGCCCCGCGTCAAACGTAAATATACGAAGCGCAATCCGAACGCGAAGAAAAATGATGCGGTGAGTTTTTTTTGTTTTATAAACGCGCATGCGGCTCACCTGATGGTAAGTGACTACCGCCGCCCATGATCACCCACAACACCAGCGGCATTGCAGGTGTGTTTTCTATCGGTCAAGGCCTATGCGTGTACAGCCGTGCTTGTCACTGCTTGGGCTTTTATATATATATATATATATATATATATATATATATATATATATATATATATATATATATATATATATATATATATATATATATATATATGTATATATATACAGTCACGTTTGTTTCCACCTTGTCTGCCCTGGAAGTCGTCGTGATTAACTCCTAGTGAATTCATCACGATGTGCCAACTGGCCTGCCTTCATCCTCACCTGTCATCACTGGTGTCCCGCCAGCGTATACCAATAGCGTAGGCGGGGATACCATTCTCTTATCATTCTATTAAAGAACCCTTTCCACCCTTTATGGGATGCCCATTGCCTTCTAGTTTCTATTCAGATGTCGTTTAAAAAAAATGTGCAACTTTTTTTTATTATTTGCTTTTTTTGTTTCAGACATCACCTAGCGAAAAAGTTAAAGGCAAGAGAGGTAGACCTAGGAAGGACCAGACCACGAATAATAAGCAGCCGGAACAAGCGAGTAAGTTGTCATTTTACCCGACTGTCGACGGAACGGTGGGTAATGTGTTTAGGGTATGTAGAAATATACAACCAAATATATATATATATATATATATATATATATATATATATATATATGTATATATATACATATATATGTATATGTATATATATATATATATATGTATGTATATGTATATATATATATATATGTATGTATATGTATGTATATGTATGTATGTATAATCTATCCATGCCATATGTAGAACATTTATATGATGAAAGTATTTTTTTAATCTATGAGATTTCACTTTACAACTCGTCAAAGCGAATCACGTGCCGTGTGGTCCCTGCATAGAATGTGCCACCCCTTCCTTTCCCGTGGGTGTCGTAAGAGGCGACTAAGGGAGGGCGAAAGATAGGCAGCAGCGTCCCTCTTAAAATATAGCATTTAACTGCGGTTGCCAATCCGCCTGCCAAGCGTGGCAACCACTGGCAAAACTCTTATAGGGAAGGCTTATGTTCAGCAGTGGACAAGTAACGGCTGATAGTAAGCGTGGGCTTAGCAAGTGGGTTGGCAACCGCAGTCAGGCTTTTGGAGATGTTTTAAGACTGACGCTGCTGCCCATTCCTCCACCATGGGCTCCCTTAGACGCCTCTTACGACACCCACGAGAAAGAAGGGGTGGCTTATTCTATGCCTGGACCACATGGTTTACGAATAAACGGTAACTAAATACTAGTGTATAATAAATTAATTTATATTTTTAGAGATCCGTGTAAGAAGCAATCTAATGCCCGTCAATACGGAACCCATCACATTGGACAGTGACGACGAGCCGGATTTGGGTGAGTGGCAACTCGATACGCCTGTGGCGCCCTCTATTATAAAGTTTTTTATAATACTTAGAATGGCAAATAAGTTGACGGCCCACCTGATGGGAAGTGGTAACCGTCGCCTATAGACATGAACAGTACCATGGACATAACAGAGTATACTGTGACGTCCATGTACTAAACATGTTCAGCTTGATACAAGCAATTTTAAACCTTAGAAGTTTTAAAATAAGGTGCATTCAAAACAAGTATTCATTATAATGTCTAATTTACAAAGTGGGAGTGTGTAATATAATATATAGCAATACCTATATATTTTTGTTACAGTATCTATATATTTGCCTATATCCAATGTTTTTTTATACAACTTAGAATGGCAAACAAGCTGACGGCCCACCTGATGGAAAGTGGTAACCGTCACCTATAGACATGAGCAGTACCGTGGACATAACAGAGTATACTGTTTCGCCCATGATACCCCCCATGCGTTGCCATTCCTGAGGACTCAGGTGTTATTCCTCTGTACCCTGTAAATTCACTGCCATATCCCACCCTTCAAACCGAAACACAGCCATGCAAACACAACTGCTTCACGGTAGATACACGAATGGGACAGAGGTACCCAAGCAATCGACTTTGTCTCCCTCTGGTAAAATATATAATTTATAATAACTTGGCACATATGACTATCTTATATAATAGACGGATTGTCTTTTAATAAAAAACGTTCACGCTAACATTTTTACTTTATCCGAGCAGTAAGTGCTTTATATTATTCTCAATTTCGTGTATAATATAGTATATGTCATATATGTGTAAGTATATTTGTTATTCATATATATCTATTCGTTTATATATGTAATTTTAGTATGTATGTATATCAATAATTAGTAGTACCGCATTCGAGTATTCTGACACTTCCCTATGGTTGACTGGGAGAGAACGCTTTTAGCATTAAGTCCGCCATGTACACATGTTATGTACTAATGGATAAATAAATGAATCCACGGGATACAGCTAGTATCTATTAATTACACCGACTATGTACTTTTTATTATAACACATTGTGATTTGTTAATCTTTGTCGGATTGCCCACGATACAGGCTCGCCTAGTGTGCGGCCCATCGTATCTTGCGTTTGTAACGTTGTGTTTTTTGTCAAAAAATAAATTTCTATTCTATTCTATTTCTATTCCATAGAAAAAAATCGACTCCAACTGTAGCAAAACCAGTTGTTCTGAATTCAAGACTGAATTACTGAACCGATTTTGGTAGAATTCCTACAGGACCAATCTGTTAGTGTGTCGTTTTGATAAAAAAAAGATTTTTCCAAATCGGTTTACAACTGACGGAGTTGTTAGGTGACAAACATTAAAAAAAAACACGAATTGAAAATCTCTTATTTTTTGAAATCAGTTGTAAATGTAAACGAAAAAATGTAATTTGATTATGAACAATTTTTTTATTTGACTTCTTTTTGTAATTTTGTGTTTTTTTTTTGTCAAATAATATAAATAATAAATAAAAATTAATTTCCAGGATCACCAAGTCAGGCGTCGGATTCTTTGAGTTTAGACGAGAATTTACGGGCATTACGACACTTACATGAAAAATACGCGAATATAGACAAGGTATGTTTTAATTATTATGAGGATTTATTGTGTAGTGTACGACCGAAACAGGTTTCACAGTCGAAACCGAAACCGAAACCGAGTTTTCGGCCTCGGTCTTAGTTTCCGCCTCGGTCTTAGTTTCGGCCGAAACCGAAACTTATTAAAAATATATTAAATATATTAAAAATATATTTAAAATATTTTTAATAAGTAATATATTAAAAAAATCTCTTCTATACTGAAATTTAGTGTATTTTTTACACAATTATTTACACAAACACACAAATAGTTAAAGGGTAATAATTAACACTAAAGTAAATAACAAATATGTCATGTATATTTATATGTAAAAACATGTTAAAATTATTAGACACACACACACAACGCAAAGACACAGTTTCGGCGCGGCCGAAAATTTCGGCCAATTTTTGGCCGAAACCGAAATTAAGGCCGAAACTAGCTGAAACGGTAACCGAAACCGAAAGTTCGGTCGGAAATTAATTTATTATTAAAAAAAAAGTGTTGTAAATCCAATAAAACTACACAATAAGTTGGTTATTTTCGTAAAAAAAGAACTATCCGTACTCCCCCAAAATCCGCTTCGAGCTTATATTGTAAAGGTGAATGTTATGCCTGTCTCGCTCTATCACATGTGGTATTATTTACTTTCTCTTTTACATTGTCAATCTATATGTTTTATAATCTTAGTTCCCAGTAGTCTTCAGCAGCGACTGTATGTGAGTTTAATAAAGGTTTCAGCTTCGATCCTGGTACAATATGAAATATATTTGTTTGTGGTGTGGATAGATTCAGAAACTGAAAAATTAAAAATTCTTTCATTTACATTATTAGCGAGTAATATAAGGCTATAAATTGATTTCGAAAATTCTACCTGTCTGCGCAAAGCCAGGAAAGATCGCTAGTATAAAATACTTGTATTCATAACAGTATGACTGTTTGTATTGGTCTGGGATTTTTTTTTTTTATGAACGATAATGGAATGGTAACCCCGCCTACGCTAATGGTATACGCTGGCGGAGCACCAGTAATGGATCCATGGTGATGAATACACCTGGAATTTAGCACAATGGCTTCCAGGTGGATCACGTGGAAGTGACAGGGGGTATTGCTAGCAATGGGACCTCTTGTTTGGCCTAATATGGGGAAGGTTGTGAGCAGCAGTTTGGTGATGTTTTAAAAGGGACATTGCTGTACATTCTTCGACTATTAAGCTCCCTTAGTCGCCTCTTACCACACCCACGGGAAAGGAAGGGGTGGCCCGTTCTACGCTGAAACCACATGGCGAATATTTATAAATTTTCTATAAATTTGTTCCAGGATGATATGTACGCGACGCACTTACTAGCTGCAAGCTTCAAGAAACCGCCCACGGACCAGCCTCCGAAAATGAACAACCAAGCAGCCAATCAGGTGGTGCAGATCCGCGATGATGACGAGGTGCTGTCAGTGAGAAGTTCGGAAGGTAACCTTCGTGATGAGATGGTTTTGTTTTACTGAATTTGGTGCTATTTTGCTGAAGTCCATATCAGTGGCTGGTTTTTTTTTTATTGGATGATAATAGAATGGTAACCCTGTCTGCGCTATCGGTATACGCAGACTGGATACCAGTGATGGGTAATAGGTGAGGATGAAAGCAAGTCACCACCACCACCTACCAGAGGGAGACTTTGTACAAAAGTCGATTGCTTGGGTACCTCTGTCCCATTCGTGTTTCAACCGTGAAGCAGTTGTGTTTGCATGGCTGTGTTTCGGTTTGAAGGGTGGGATATGGCGTGAATTTACTGGGTACAGAGGAAAAACACCTGAGTCCTCAGAAATGTCAACGCATGGCGGGTATCATGGGCGAAACAGTATACTCTGTTATGTCCATGATACTGCTCATGTTTATAGGCGACGGTTATCACTTCCCATCAGGTGGGCCGTCAGCTTGTTTGCCATTCTTAAGTAGTATAAAAAAAAGTCATTTAGCCCACCATGACGAATTCATAAAGGTGGCTTTCAGGATAATCGAGATGGTTTCCAGGGTGAAGCGCCTGAAGGTCGACCTGATAGCATATAGTGCTAGCAATGTGGCTGTTAGATGCCCATTACTGACAGCCTCTTTCCCCCTGGTTTGTTGATTCAGTGAATAATAATGGAATGGTAACCCTGCTTACCTTAGCGGTATACGCTGGCGGGGCACCAGTAAGGGATGTCCTCCTGCTTCATATATTAGTGGGATTTCCCCACGATTTTGATATATTTATACTCAAATAATATATATACCCAATATATTTAGTTTGTAACATATTTGTTTTAGGTTGCCCTTCAGTCAAAGAGTTGGATACGAGAGTGGAAAAGTTGGAGGACAGTTCGAACTCTGACTCGGACAGTAGTAGTTCTGGATCTGGTAAGATATTAATACATCTCCATATTTAGAAATAATAGAATTTTCAGCGTGCCTCCTATCAAACTGTTTATAATTACCAGATTTACCAGAGGGAGACTGTACAAAAGTCGTTTGCTTTGGCACCTCTGTCCTATTCGTGTTTCTACCGTGAAGCAGTTGTACTAGCTTGGCTGTTTCGGTTTGAAGGGTGAGATATGGCAGTGAATTTACAGGGTACAGAGGAATAACACCTGTGTCAGGAATGGCAACGCATGAGGGCGAAACAGTATACTCTGTTATGTCCATGGTATTGCTCATGTCTATAGGCGACGGTTGCCACTTTCCATCAGGTGGGCCGTCAGCTTGTTTGCCATCTTAAGTTCCATAAAAAAGCCTTTCCCTCCTTGTAAATTATCACATCTAATTTGTACCTCGTATTGCCTCGCAGGCAGTTCCAGCTCCGGCTCGAGCTCGTCCTCCAGCTCGGACAGTTCCAGCTCGTCGGACAGCTCGGACAGCGAGTCGGACGACGACGAGAGAGCCAAGACTGACAGCGTAGCGCCCGTAAACAACGTCGACGACGACAGGTCGGTGCTGGAAGTGAAATTATGTAGAAATAATTAAAGATATATAATAAAGTTAGCCGTGTGGTCCCTGCATAGAATGGACCTGGGCCACCCTTCCTTTCCCATGGGCGTTGTAGAAGCTGACTAAGGGAGCGTGAGAGATGAGCAGCAGCGTTCCTCTTAAAACTTGACTGGAAGACTATCTGTGGTTATGAATCTTCCTGCCAAGCGTGGCAACTTCTGGAGAAACCGTCCTTTTAAGGCCTATGTTCAGCAATGAACAGATAATGGCTGAAATGAATTAATGAAAATTAAAAATTGTGTCCCACCAAAACAAAACAACTATAAATGTGACAAAGACAGCATTTTGAAATAAAAAATAAACTATTTAACCGATTTTGATAAAATTTCTATTGGACCGATCTGTAAATGTATCTTTTCAGATAAAAAAGATTTTTCCAAATCGTTTTATAATTCTAATGAAACAGTGTACTCTGTTATGTCCATGGTACTGCTCATGTCTATAGGCGACGGTTGCCACTTTCCATCAGGTGGGCCATCTGCTCGTTTGCCATTCTAAGTTGTATAAAAAAAAAAAACTAATGGAGTTATGAGGTTTCTAACATAAAAAAATAGGGGGGGGGGAAAGGGATTGTTAGTAATGAAGACCAAGAATCCCCTGCTAGCAATATATTCAGCCAGGTCGACATGCTTGCGGTTCTCCCTGGAAACTATCATGATTAATTCCTGATGAATTCATCATGATGGGCTAACTGGCCTGTTTTCATTCTCATCTATCACCCTTCACTGGTGCTCCGCCAGCGTATCCCGTTAGCGCAGGCGGGATTACCATACCATTTTCAACCATCAAAAAAAAAATTCTCGCTTCTTTATTCAAGTCGGTTGAAAACATGTAATGTTAGTTTACTAATTCCAATTTTTTCCACTAGGTCCTTCGGTTCCGAGTGGCACAGTGGTGCCCAGTCGGACTCAGACTCAGACCCTGAGCGGCTGAAAGACACTCTGGGCCCACCGCCGCAACAAGACGAGATCAGCGAGTCGGAGAACGAGTCCCCCGACAAGAGTTTCCAATGTCATATATGCCATAAGTGGTATTCCACCAGGGTTACGTTGAAGTGAGTACACTTTGTCTTTAAGCGACTTTCGAACTCAGCTTGGGTAATATCGGTACCATTTTGATATATATACGCGCCACCTACCTATTTATTCTTTAATTCTTTCCACCCAAAGGTTGTCTGGAAGAGATTGCTTAGCAATAAGACCGCCTTCTGTACTACACTATACTTACTAACACCTTGCAGTTAATGTGTTATTATTTTGTTTTTTTTTTTTTGCTAGAATTCATCGACGAGTCCACCAGAATCGCGGCGGTGGCAACTCGCGGTCCCGCACTCGCTCGTCAGACAGATACGAGTGCGATTGTTGTAATGAAACGTTTAATCGGCGCGAGAAACTTTGGGATCATAAGTGAGTATAATTTCTTTTCGGTCTACTGAGTAGACCGTTGGTCTTTCGAGTAGACCGTGGGTCTTTCGAGTAGACCGTTGGTCTTTCGAGTAGACTGATATGTTGTAACAATGTTCATGATATAGTGATTTGAATTAGCAATTTAATTACAACGTTAATTTTGGTGTACAACAAATATAGGTATAATATAGGTATATATAAGTATAAATAGGTTATATGATATATTCGATTGTATATACATATATGTATATCCACCGATTTCTCTGCCTATTGTGGATCAATATAAAAAAAAATATTTTGTTCGAAAGAGTATATTCTTGAGGAGGTCCTGTTGTCACTAAGTTAGGATCTGATGATTACATCCCAAGAAAATCTAGGACAACCCTCAAATTTTAAACTTCCATATTTGGTGTTTCATATTTTTTCAAAACTTATTTGTTATAAGTGATATATAATAATTTCACTATTATGGCGATAGATTTTTAATTGTATTATTGGAATGTGAATTGTCTGTTGAGTAAATTCAGTAGACCGGTGGTTTATTAAGATTATCAACGATTTGTTTTTTTTTTATACCACTGAGGTAGCAAACAAGCATACGGCCCACCTGATGGTAAGTGGTTACCGTAGCCTATGAACACCTGCAATACCAGAGGTATTACGCGTGCGTTGCCGACCCTGAAGAAACCTCTTTACCCCCCTTTTGAAGAACCCCAGGCTGTAGTCTCTTGGGAAAACCTCGGCGGGGAGCTCATTCCACAACCTGAGTGTTCGTGGGAGGAAACATCTCTGAAACCGCGCAGGACGCGACCATTGAGGCTGTAGGACATGAGGATGAACTCCCTGCCGATGGCGAGCCGTACGATGGTAGAAAGTGGCTGTGGGCATCATATTGAACAATTCCTCTGAGCACAATCCATTGTACAGGCGGTAGAACACGCAGAGTGAGGCAAAATCTCTCCTAAGATTTAAGGGTTCGATACCACCTGTGAGCCTGAATAGATCTAGCCTCTACTGAATAAACCTAATTTTACTTCTATTTGCGATTATTTTAGGAAAGGCTTGGACAGATACTGAACAGGAACAGTTCTCTCGGACTCGGACGGGAAAGTGGACTGGTGGTCTATTGAGTAGACCGATAGTCTTTCGTGTTTCAATCGTGAAGCGGTTGTGTTTGCATGGCTGTGTTTCGGTTTGAAGGGTCGGATATGGCGTGAATTTACAGGGTACAGAGGAATAACACCTGAGTCCTCAGGAATGGCAACGCACGGGGGGTATCATGGGCGAAACAGTATACTCTGTTATGTCCGTGTTACTGCTCATGTCTATAGGCAACGGTTACCACTTTCCATCAGGTGGGCCGTCAGCTTGTTTGCCATTCTAAGTTGTATAAAAAAAAAGTCTATTATGTATACCTAACATTGTATTGACCAGACCTAAATGTTTTACTACTCCAATTGTCACAGGGCTGAAGTGCACCGTGGCACGATGACGGTCCGCTGCGAGGTGTGCCGCAAGTGTTTCGAGGACGACGCGGAGCTCGCCGCACACGACCGCACGCACTCCGCCGACGAACGTGCAGGTGACGTTTATATAATTTTACCTCACTCTCTATTAACCCACTAATAAGTTTAATCATAGAAAAATATGACTGTACTAGATATAGCTAGGCTGTATTACACTATTTATGTATGCATGTATGTATATGTGTATATGTATGTATGTGTGTATGTATGTATATCTATTTGTATATGTGTTAGTATGTATATTTATATTTGTGTGTGTGTGTGTATATATATATATATATATATATAATAATGAGTAGGGATAATTTTTATATTATTATATGTATTACATCTCCCATATCTATAACTAACAGGATGTTTTCATCGTGCCTCCTACTAAATTGTTTATAATTACTCCTCTCTATCCAAAGGTTGCCTGCAAGAGATTGCTCTTAGCGATAAGGTCGCCCATTGTTTTCTCACTGTGATCATTTCTTGTAATTGTTTGTATCTATAATAAGTTTACTATTGTAATCTTTTGGAGGAAACAATAAAGAGTATCTATCTATCTATCTATTTTGAAAGATACATATTATTACAGATTTGTTTTTTTGTACGTTTTTATTGTGTAAATTTAAAAAAAAATACCGATTTAAATAATTCTTTCACATATATAGAAAGCTATATAATTATTTTTAAAATTTTTTACAACAATTACAATAAATGTTAAAAATTTGTATATAAGATACTAATAAATCTTTCTATCTATCTACCTGTGTGAAGTCGGGACAGATCGCTAGTTTATAATCTTTCCTCTTTATTTGAAGGACGCCTGGAAGGGATCGTTTCGATGTTGCCCATACAAGTCGGGTGACTATTTTCGAATATGTTAAAAGTCCGTTATCCAATATTATTTTTTGAATAATAGAATTTTTCTCAAACATGCTTGGAAATATGAGCATTATTTTGACTAACTTCTTCGAGATAAATCAAAATTGCCGTACTGGCTAGATACATGCGGGGTGCGGCCGGAAAAAGTTGTATGAAAATCCATATCTGTCGTGTTTTGCGGCCAAATAAGTTACTATGTAAACTCATATCTGTCCTGTAATTTAAAAATGGAATGACCTTTTACTTCGAAGCATGGCTACTAAGGAGGTAACTAATAAAAGGTTTTATTTAAATTTCGAACTTACTTGCAAATAAAAAAATGTTTATTGAAAAAAAAAAAACAAAGGAATATTATGGCTCGGAAAAAATTATTATTGTTCGTTATTTGTCATTGAACTTAAAAAGTAAGACAGAGTTTTTGATTTCCGTGCATTGTTTGAGAAAAGTACTATACAAGCCTTGGCCACAACTAGGCATTGATGGACTTACGTGTGTGTGCCTCGGCTATGCCTCGGCCCACATTTGTTGGTCCACGTTCGTCTATCAATGCCTCAGTTGCTGACCGCTGCAGTAATGTACTATTAACATATTCGTTATTGGACCAGTTTATAGATATTGCTATATATTACCCACCGGTATTTTTTTTTATAACATAGTTTGAAAGAAAATTATTACTAACAAAATGGACCAAATTGTAGTGTGAAAATTAAAATATTACTGTTATTATTTTATAATAACGTTTGGTGGTGTCGGCAGGCCGGTGCAGCGAGTGCGGCGCGTCGTTCGGCCGCTACGAGCAGCTGCGGCGGCACCGCGCGTGCGCGCACGGCGCGGCGAGCGGCGGCGCGCTCCCGCACGCGTGCGCGCAGTGCGGCAAGCGCTTCTCGCACGCGCACTCGCTCACGCGCCACATGCAGAACCACGCCAAGCAGCTCTACAGATGTGTCGTCTGCAAGGTGACGTTACCACGCACGCACGCACGCACGCACGCACGCACGCGTGCGCGCAGTGCGGCAAGCGCTTCTCGCACGCGCACTCGCTCACGCGCCACATGCAGAACCACGCCAAGCAGCTCTACAGATGTGTCGTCTGCAAGGTGACGTTACCACGCACGCACGCACGCACGCACGCACGCACGCGTGCGCGCAGTGCGGCAAGCGCTTCTCGCACGCGCACTCGCTCACGCGCCACATGCAGAACCACGCCAAGCAGCTCTACAGATGTGTCGTCTGCAAGGTGACGTTACCACGCACGCACGCACGCACGCACGCACGCGTGCGCGCAGTGCGGCAAGCGCTTCTCGCACGCGCACTCGCTCACGCGCCACATGCAGAACCACGCCAAGCAGCTCTACAGATGTGTCGTCTGCAAGGTGACGTTACCACGCACGCACGCACGCACGCACGCACGCACGCGTGCGCGCAGTGCGGCAAGCGCTTCTCGCACGCGCACTCGCTCACGCGCCACATGCAGAACCACGCCAAGCAGCTCTACAGATGTGTCGTCTGCAAGGTGACGTTACCACGCACGCACGCACGCACGCACGCACGCACGCGTGCGCGCAGTGCGGCAAGCGCTTCTCGCACGCGCACTCGCTCACGCGCCACATGCAGAACCACGCCAAGCAGCTCTACAGATGTGTCGTCTGCAAGGTGACGTTACCACGCACGCACGCACGCACGCACGCACGCACGCGTGCGCGCAGTGCGGCAAGCGCTTCTCGCACGCGCACTCGCTCACGCGCCACATGCAGAACCACGCCAAGCAGCTCTACAGATGTGTCGTCTGCAAGGTGACGTTACCACGCACGCACGCACGCACGCACGCACGCACGCGTGCGCGCAGTGCGGCAAGCGCTTCTCGCACGCGCACTCGCTCACGCGCCACATGCAGAACCACGCCAAGCAGCTCTACAGATGTGTCGTCTGCAAGGTGACGTTACCACGCACGCACGCACGCACGCACGCACGCACGCACGCGTGCGCGCAGTGCGGCAAGCGCTTCTCGCACGCGCACTCGCTCACGCGCCACATGCAGAACCACGCCAAGCAGCTCTACAGATGTGTCGTCTGCAAGGTGACGTTACCACGCACGCACGCACGCACGCACGCACGCACGCGTGCGCGCAGTGCGGCAAGCGCTTCTCGCACGCGCACTCGCTCACGCGCCACATGCAGAACCACGCCAAGCAGCTCTACAGATGTGTCGTCTGCAAGGTGACGTTACCACGCACGCACGCACGCACGCACGCACGCACGCGTGCGCGCAGTGCGGCAAGCGCTTCTCGCACGCGCACTCGCTCACGCGCCACATGCAGAACCACGCCAAGCAGCTCTACAGATGTGTCGTCTGCAAGGTGACGTTACCACGCACGCACGCACGCACGCACGCACGCACGCGTGCGCGCAGTGCGGCAAGCGCTTCTCGCACGCGCACTCGCTCACGCGCCACATGCAGAACCACGCCAAGCAGCTCTACAGATGTGTCGTCTGCAAGGTGACGTTACCACGCACGCACGCACGCACGCACGCACGCACGCGTGCGCGCAGTGCGGCAAGCGCTTCTCGCACGCGCACTCGCTCACGCGCCACATGCAGAACCACGCCAAGCAGCTCTACAGATGTGTCGTCTGCAAGGTGACGTTACCACGCACGCACGCACGCACGCACGCACGCACGCGTGCGCGCAGTGCGGCAAGCGCTTCTCGCACGCGCATTCGCTCACGCGCCACATGCAGAACCACGCCAAGCAGCTCTACAGATGTGTCGTCTGCAAGGTGACGTTACCACGCACGCACGCACGCACGCACGCACGCACGCGTGCGCGCAGTGCGGCAAGCGCTTCTCGCACGCGCACTCGCTCACGCGCCACATGCAGAACCACGCCAAGCAGCTCTACAGATGTGTCGTCTGCAAGGTGACGTTACCACGCACGCACGCACGCACGCACGCACGCACGCGTGCGCGCAGTGCGGCAAGCGCTTCTCGCACGCGCACTCGCTCACGCGCCACATGCAGAACCACGCCAAGCAGCTCTACAGATGTGTCGTCTGCAAGGTGACGTTACCACGCACGCACGCACGCACGCACGCACGCACGCGTGCGCGCAGTGCGGCAAGCGCTTCTCGCACGCGCACTCGCTCACGCGCCACATGCAGAACCACGCCAAGCAGCTCTACAGATGTGTCGTCTGCAAGGTGACGTTACCACGCACGCACGCACGCACGCACGCACGCACGCGTGCGCGCAGTGCGGCAAGCGCTTCTCGCACGCGCACTCGCTCACGCGCCACATGCAGAACCACGCCAAGCAGCTCTACAGATGTGTCGTCTGCAAGGTGACGTTACCACGCACGCACGCACGCACGCACGCACGCACGCGTGCGCGCAGTGCGGCAAGCGCTTCTCGCACGCGCACTCGCTCACGCGCCACATGCAGAACCACGCCAAGCAGCTCTACAGATGTGTCGTCTGCAAGGTGACGTTACCACGCACGCACGCACGCACGCACGCACGCGTGCGCGCAGTGCGGCAAGCGCTTCTCGCACGCGCACTCGCTCACGCGCCACATGCAGAACCACGCCAAGCAGCTCTACAGATGTGTCGTCTGCAAGGTGACGTTACCACGCACGCACGCACGCACGCACGCACGCACGCGTGCGCGCAGTGCGGCAAGCGCTTCTCGCACGCGCACTCGCTCACGCGCCACATGCAGAACCACGCCAAGCAGCTCTACAGATGTGTCGTCTGCAAGGTGACGTTACCACGCACGCACGCACGCACGCACGCACGCACGCGTGCGCGCAGTGCGGCAAGCGCTTCTCGCACGCGCACTCGCTCACGCGCCACATGCAGAACCACGCCAAGCAGCTCTACAGATGTGTCGTCTGCAAGGTGACGTTACCACGCACGCACGCACGCACGCACGCACGCGTGCGCGCAGTGCGGCAAGCGCTTCTCGCACGCGCACTCGCTCACGCGCCACATGCAGAACCACGCCAAGCAGCTCTACAGATGTGTCGTCTGCAAGGTGACGTTACCACGCACGCACGCACGCACGCACGCACGCACGCGTGCGCGCAGTGCGTCAATGCCTCAGTTGCTGGCCGCTGCAGTAATGTACTATTCTCAAACAATACGCGGAAATCAAAAACACAATTTTACTTTTAAGTTCAATGACGAATAACGAACAATTATAATTTTTCACACGCCATAATGTTCTTTAGTTTTTTTTTTTTTAATAAACAGCTTTCTATTTGCAAGCCAGTTCGAAATTTAAATAAAACCTTTTATTAGTTACCTCCTTGGTAGCCATGTTTCCAAGTAAAAGGTCATTCCATTTTTAAATTACAGGACAGATATGAGTTTACATAGTAATTTATCTGGCCGCAAAACACGACAGATATGGATTTTCATACAACTTTTACCGGCCGCTGCCCGCATGTATCTGGCCAGTACGGCAACTTTGATTTATCTCGAAGAAGATTGTCAAAATAATGTTCACATTTCCAAGCATGTTTGAGAAAATGATATTTATTTTCTAATTTTCTGCAATATAATTTAAAAAAAAAAACTGTCCAAATATTCATTATTGTTGTGTTGAGAATCCGTTCCAGTATTATAAATGTGAAAGTGAATTTGTTTGTATTGTTGCAGGCGTCATTCGCTCGGGCCGACCAACTAGCTCAGCATCTGAACAGCCACCTCGCGAACTACAAGAGACTTAAGCCCTAAGCGAACGCTCAGGACTCAGCCCTAAGCCAAAGCTCAGGACAGCCCTAAGCCGACGCTCAGGTCAGCCCTAAGCCGAGGCTCAGGACTTTAGGGACCGAACGGGAGTGTGCAAGGATGAAACATTTTATTGGATTACAACACTATTATTATTATTATATTATATTAATATAGAGTTTTATTTAAAATTTGCACTTTCATTTTTAGCGTCAACCAAACTGAAACTTAAAAAAAAATTTTTATTCATAGTCTGTTTTAATTACTATTGTACGGATAAAAAGGCCATATTTTGGTCAAATATTTACATTTAATATTTAATTTGTATTTTACTTATCATTATTATTGTTTGTTTTTATATGTTCTCTCTTGTTTGTTCCCTTTTTCTTGTTAACTCGTATTTCTGTAGCTTTGTGTAAAGCGCCTTGTATCTATATTGTTGCTATTTGTGAAAACCTATTAGTGGATTATTTTGTTATCCTAAAACTGTATCTATTTGCTGTAGTGTAGCCCTGGTTTTCCTATGAATAAATAAATAAATAAATAAAAACTGTTAGATAGATAGATTGATAAATAATTTATTTGCATTACTTACAGTACGCAAATAATAAAAGGCATGAAAAATAGGTAAAAGGTGAAAGAATACATATAAAAAAGGAAAATGCATAAAAGGATTAACATAATTTTCCTTTCGTGAGTGTGCTATAGTGCCTCAAAACGGTCACAACTCTATTGTTTTGCCCTCAAAAGAGCAAAATATTGATATTCTGTTGCGGCCAAAAGCCAAGGTGACAATAAAATAAAAAAAAAAATACTCATTTATACAATATTTCGACATTTCATCTAGCAAGTAAATGGTCTGGAAAGGTAACTTGATGGATTATCAAATTTTTGGATTTTGATCAAGAATTTTTTGAAATTAATTTTGAAAGTGAACTCATTGGCGAGTAATTGATTGGTAAATACGATAAAAAAGATGTGCTAACATTCTTTACTAATTTATACCAAATATGAAAAATAGATTAACATATTTTTGGCAACTATTTTGGCCAAAACCTTCCTTTATGGTGGAGACCTATGTTCAACAGTGGACAGTTAGAGCTGATATGATGATTAAAAATAGATTATTACTTTATTATATATACCAGAGGGAGACTTTGTACAAGAGTCGATTGCTTGGGTACCTCTGTCCCATTCGTGTTTCTACTGTGAAGCAGTTGTGTTTCCATGGCTGTGTTTCAGTTTGAAGGGTGGGATATGGCGTGAATTTACTGTGTACAGAGGAATAACACATGAGTCCTCAGGAATGGCAACGCATGCGAGGTATCATGGGCGAAACAGTATACTCTGTTATATACATGGTACCGCTCATGTGTATAGGCGACGGTTACCACTTTCCATCCGGTGAGCCGTCAGCTTGTTTGCCATTCTAAGTTGTATAAAAAAAAATCTAAACATGGTCCTACACGATTGTATGCAAAAGCTACAAGTTACTCGGCGGGTTATGAAGAGAGCTATGCTCGGAGTCTTTTTGCGTGATAGCATCCGAAACGAGGATATCCGCAAAAGAACCGAAGTAACCGACATAGCCCGAATGATAAGCAAGCTGAAATGGCAATGGGCTGGTCACATAGCCCGAAGAAACGATAACCGATGGGGAAGAAAGT